GGAAAGAAAGAGAGAGATCAAGATAGAATAAGGAATAGGAAGAAAAGAAGAAGAAGAAAGAAGAAGAAAAAGGGGACCTTAGACTTCTCTCTTGCTATCCCATCACGGACGCTCAATCCCCTAGTGACGATTACTATGCCCTATGGAGATTCTCAATTTTCAATACAAACTTATGTCTGTCGTGATCTCTCTTTTCTTTTTTTTTTTCTTTTCTTTTTTTCCGTATATTTTTTCATGAAATGGCCTTTGTAGACTGTACATAGGATAAAACGTCTCGTACCTCCCTCGATACTCTTGTACTGGCACTCTGTCCATCATTTTCCTCCTCTTGACCTGTTTATGCCGCCTCTGGAATGTTACCCGTTCGCATCAGTAGCAATACTAGTAGTGATAGCAGAGTACTTTTTCTGTACCGTAGACTTTTGCGGTCTTTTCTTTTCTTTTTTTTTCTCCTTCGGGGTCTAGCCGTACGTAGTCTCTCTTCTCCGTTACTTGTCAATGACCGCTTTAATAATACGTTATTACTAGCATCAACGTGGCTCATGGCTCATGACTCGTGATAGCCTCTCTCTCTCTCTCTCTCTCTCTCTCTCTCTCTTTCCCTGATAGGCATAGCCTTTGGGCCTGTCTACGACCCATTCATGATGCGAAGACAGGCACCTCCTACCCGGCCTTCCCGGGGAGTAGGACGGGTATTTGGCATGGGATTTCGGTGCTCGCCCCTTGCTCTGCCTTTGTTCGGACGTCCCTCAAGTCCATGTGAAATAAGACCGACCGACACGCCCCCCTTTTTAGTGACCATGAGTCGATGACAGGCCTGCGCACGCCTACGAGGCTGGCCTGCTCACTTGATCTGACGTGTATGTACGTATCATCGCACGGGATGGCCATGCATGATCCTGGCATACGCGGCAACTCTCTTCTCTTACGACTCCGCGGAAGACTTTTTTTTTTTTGTCCGACTTCCGTCCGAGCTGCCGAGCTGTCGTGCCACCTGAAAGGTAAAAAAAGGTAATATTCTGTACATGTACATGGGTGCGTTCAGCTACGAACTCGTAGCTGGTCTCTCTGGTCAATGCATACGAGCGAGTATGACACATGGGGTTGGACCGGTTCGACTTTACATACGAGTACGAGCATATATATATATTGTACAACGCACGTGTGGTGTGGTGCGTATATAAATAGGTTTTGACATGCACAAGATGCACGGATTGGATAGAGTAATATATAATGGTTATTAATCGAAGAGGGAATAGAAACAAAGGCTGTCTATCGTATTGATTGTATAGGAAATAGGGGCATTCGGGTGCCCCTTGGATAGAAGTCACGTGGCTCTATGAAATGTCTCATATCGGAACCACAGGTGTCGCGTATAAGAAGTCGAGCGATCCTTTCAGCTTGGGCTTTCTTTGTCATATGATATTGTGGCAGAGTAATCTGTCCTGATTACTCGTGTACAGCCTACAGCTAAAGGTTGCTTTCGCAGCACAATGAGTCAGGTGTCGGATACTAGGGTTGGACGTTCGATGCCGCTTAGCGTTGCCTGTCGAGCCGCCGGTACTGGTAGTCGAGATACTCCATCCAGGTTGTGTAGTAGAGCTTTTCCTGCTTCCTCACCGTCTCGATCAAGGCTCGGGCAAGCCGGCACCCCATCGCTCGCCGTAGTCGCGGAACCGTCGGCAGTGTAGGGTCCTCTCGAATGGTGCCGCTGCCTCTCACGTTCCCGATATCCATCCTTCCATTCCCGACCTGTGCAGGATCAGCTTCGACCTCGGCCGGCCAGCATTTGCTCGCCACCGTCGCGACGTCTCTGCGTAGCTGTCAACGTCCCAGAATCTCGTCATAGATAGGGTCGGCAGAGCGTGAGGGGCGACCGCCTTCATCGACGAGCTCAGACACCCGTGCATCGACGTCATCAAGATCGAGCAGGCGCGGACTAGCCATAGGGCTCTGAGCTAGGTCTCGTTCTCAGGTCGCTACGTTGAAATCATGTGCTGTCGATGCTGCTCCGTGTGCTCGTGTTCCGCATCACATCGCCTACTCCCTACCGCCTTCTCAACCGTGTTTCTGCCCTCTGCCGGTCTCCGCAACCGCCGCGACCGCCGCGACCGCCGCAACCTCGGATGAGGGAATATTCAACTGGAAAGGCATCTGCACAGAGGGTGGTTCACCGTGGAGAGAGCATCATCCTCGCCGATGGCACACCACTCTTTTCTATCGTCGGGCCGCTAGATTGACTCGCCACCTCTTCCTGCCGATCCCGTCCGAAGCTCAACATATAAATAGCGCTTCCTGCTTGCTCGTAGCAGCATCATCAGCATCCTTCTTTCTCCCTTCTGACATCAACAACGGGGATACAGAGGCACCGATACGAGAACAGGAGAGGGGAGGAAAGAGGCCGTCATAGGGGGAGAGGTCTATTCCTAGCACTCAGTTAGGTGACGAGGGCGTTCCCCTCTTCAGATTGGATAGGATAGAGACATCATGGCCGACAGCGATGGCACACGCTCGCATACAGACACAGCAGCGGCTATATAAGCCAGCATTCTACGATTTCGATCGTAGCCTCTCCACGCAACGTCGCGGCAGAGGAGAGGATCGACAGTGTGCCAGCATCCGTGCCTAGCGGGTCGAACTCTGTATCTGGAGGAGGACCATCAGGACGGCAGAGCACCTGTATCGACGAGATCAGATCAGCAGACGATCGGGAAGTCGGCATGAGGCGTGACTCGGCTTACGCTGCTGTCGTGCCCCAGATCACCTCTGCTTTGGCGGGCGTGCTCAGGACGAGATGCAGGGCGAGGAGGAGTACGAAGCCGGTGATGCCGCCCAGCCGAGCGTTGATGTTGGGTAGCACGTTCAGAATCCACAGTGGGCCGATGAGCATGGACAGTGCAAAGGGAAACGAGATGAGACCGAACACTCTGCGCGCCCTCTCCTTATTCAGCACTACCGTCTTTTCGTCCTCGCCGTCAGAGCTCTTAAAGAATTTGGCGAACAGGCGCAGCAGTGGCGGCAGACGCAATGGCGGAAGCACGTAGACCAGATCATCGACCTCATCCACGTAACGCTTCTCGCTTGGTTCGATGGCTGCACTGTTAGATCCCGCGTGCCAGTGCTTGACACTCTCAACGTCCCAATTCTTAACCCTGCACCGGTCGGCAACGTTCTGGAATGCCAACCAGCGTTCATCTGCACGAGTCCGCATTAGCTGATAACAGAGAGCCGACGGCGGCCACCAGGCTGTTGGGTGATGGGATAGAGGGGCATGCCGTAGAGTTTCAGTTTCTCCTGTACTTCCCACACGAGCTTGTGCCTGCTGGCTTCTCTCGTATCCGTCTACCCGTGGTCGGCGTCGCTGTGGTCTGTCCAGCCTTTCTCTCCGGAGGAGGCGTCGCTGTCATGGTTGCGGGGCGGGGTGCAGCTGCGGTTGGCGGCATGTTCTCCCATCTAGAGGTTGACGGCACAGACGTCGGCAGCATACTCTATCGGGCTATATATGCCCAGTCATGATCTGGCCTCTGTACAATGGTGAGCAGGCCTTCACGTATGATGCCGGACCCGACCTTGCTCTACAATGTTGCTGTGCCGCACGCTTGAACCACCGGCGAAGGGTGGTTGGCCGCCGAAGCAGGCTGTCTATGCATCCGCAGCGCCATCGGTTCAGCAAGCAGCTGGCTATCGGGCAGCGGAGCGATCTCGACCGGGCGCCAGTGCAGCTTGGACACTTGAGTGGGTGGTTAGTATTCCGCAATATCTCCTACATCCCACATCAACGTCTTGCCATCTATGGTGGTCGCTCCGACAAACGTCCATCTGCAACTCAGTTTTGACCCATCATCCTTGCCATCTTCGATGAGATGGAAGATAGGAAGAAGGAAGACTTCGAAGCAAGTTAAAAAGGTGTTCGACAAGGTGGAAGATGTCGGCAATAAAGTTCGGAGAGACTCATATTGCGAGCCGTCGCAACACCCTCCAGGACGGCAAGCTCCAGCGTCACGAGATTCAATAGAGATGGCTGCAAATAGAAGACCGCCGGAATGGGAGAGGATGATGACAAGGGACGAGCGGCAGAACCACACACGTCTCAGGGAAGACCAGCACAACCACGTACGTCCAGGCCGACGGGTCACCGGACCCAGACGATAATGATCACGAGACAGCGGCCGCGGCCGCAAGAGACGACGCGAACGAGGGAGCGAGTGGCATACGGCAGGAGGGTCGAGGGGGTTCAGAAGAAGGGGCCGGGGGCGAGAGCTCGAGGAAAGGAGCACGTTCGGATGAGGAACAGGCCGTACGTCCGGGGGCCAATTGAGGATGGGAAATTGGAGGCCATGATTGGAACACTGTACGCCTTGACGAATGCTCCAGTCTGCAACGTAAGCTTTTCACCTGCGTCCCAGATGAACGCAGAACGATAATATTCTCCGGTGGACTGAGTGGACCGCGCTGAACCCTTCACTTCGCCTAGATGTATCATGTTACGGCCCGTCAAGCGATCTTCACGTGCACCCTTACCTTTTCTTTCTCTCTCACTCACCATCAAACTCACTCACTCGTACACGAACTAACTAATATACGATCGCTTAGCGATCGCAGCAACTAGAAAGCCCCTCTGATCATTAACGGATCCTAATGAGCATCCAATCTATAATAAAACTGAAAACCCTCCAGCGAGGACACTCTTTATATCGTAGCTATCAGTAATACAGTCGACGCTTCTATGTAAACCAGTTCCTGATTATCAATCACCTATGACTATAACTGCCTCATTGCTTTAGTCCCGCACATCCTACCTGTGTCGCCTACATATAAATCGACGTCATCTCTGACTACCCTATAGCTTAGAGCTCGTGCTTCCTGCTAGCGACGCCAAGCGACAGCCCGCAGGCGTGGTCATAGTAGCTCTGCCTACTAGTACGTCCCGGGTCGATGAGTGTGTGTCTTGCTGCTTGCTTGGGAAGAAGGAAATCTATCTATGAGGTTATCTACAGAATGAATGTGGCAGCAGCCTCTGGCTGCTTAGTCATACAATCTTGGGTGCCATAAGGTGAACCTCAACGTCACAGTAAAGGAATTAATTAGTAGTATTATAGAGATAAGAGAGATACCTCCGTGGCACTAACCGCACTATTATCAATGAGTTCTCTCACTTATTTCCCAATGTCTTAGTTATAGAGGTCTATAATCATATGCTCATACTTTTCACAAAATGAGATTGAATCCTTTGAATTTATAGGATAGAGCAACCTCTCTCCCCCCTCTGGTCTAGAGAAACAACCTAAGCGCTAACTCTTAGTCATGAGTCCTTGAACCGGAGATCTCTCCCCGCAATCGCAGTGCGCTAGCTCTTCCCCCACTTGTGCGCCCTGTCATCAACTTTTTGTTCATATCCATAGTAAAGAGAAAATACATGGATAATCGAAAGGAAAGAAGGAAAGAATAAGCAACAGCACATAACCATCTTTTTTATTTCGTCTTATTTGCTCTTACCGTCTCCAACCGTCAAGACCTTGAGACACATCATCATCACCGTCGTCATCCTCTCATCCCCTCCATCACGCACCGCAATGGTCTCCGACGTCCCCATCTCCCAGGGTTCACCCGCCCATCTCCTCCCACCCAGCTGGAAGACGCAAGTGACGGCCTGGCTAGCCGAGGACACGCCATCGTTCGACTACGGGGGTTTCGTCGTGGGAGAGGGCGAGCGCACGGCCACGCTGTGGGGGAAGTCGGCCGGCGTTATCGCGGGCCGGCCCTTCTTCGACGAGGTCTTCGCGCAGTGCGGGTGCGAGGTGGAGTGGCGCGCCGCCGAGGGGTCCGAGGTCGACCTGATGGCCGAGGAGGGTGGCAAGAAGGCCTTGGCCACGGTGCGGGGCCCCGTGCGGGGGATCCTGCTCGGCGAGCGCGTCGCCCTCAACACCCTGGCGCGCTGCTCCGGCATCGCCACCCGCAGCAGGGAGCTCGTCAGCCTGCTGCGCGAGGCGGGGTACCGCGGCACCCTGGCCGGCACCCGTAAGACGACCCCCGGTTTTCGACTGGTCGAGAAGTACGGCATGCTCGTCGGCGGCGCCGACGCCCACCGCATGGACCTCAGCGCCATGGTCATGCTCAAGGACAACCACGTCTGGAGCAGGGGCAGCATCGCCGACGCCGTGGCCGCCGCCAAGTCCGTCGCCGGCTTCAGCGTCAAGATCGAGGTCGAGGTCCAGTCCGAGAAGGAGGCCGACGAGGCCATCGACGCCGGGGCTGACGTCGTCATGCTCGACAACTTCGGCCCCCAAGAGGTCAGGACGGCCGCCGCCAGCATCAGGGAGAGGTGGGCTGGCAAGAAGAATTTCCTTCTCGAGGTGTCGGGTGGCCTGAGGGCTGACAATGTCGAGCCTTACGTTTGCAATGGTGAGTTTTTCTTCGTAAAAGTCATGCTTTTCATCTCTCTCATCTTTGCGTATGAAGTTTCGTCTATCCTTTCCTTCCTTGCTCCCTTTTCCTTCTCCCTCCTTTTCTCCCATCGTCGTTGCTAACACCCCCCCCCCCCCCCCCCCCAAGACATCGACATCATCTCGACAAGTTCCATCCACCAGGGCGTCCCCCACCTCGATTTTTCCCTCAAGATCGACCACTAAACAACACGAGAGAAAGACTGCCCAGGAGTAAAACAGCACAAGAGAAGAGGAGAGGTGATCAAACATGTAGAATACGTATACACACGCACACGCACAGACGTACACACGTCATGCGTGTAATAATAAGCCATCATGCCACCAGTTTATAGATCCCATCTCTCCCACATAGACGCCCACAGTTCACGTCACTCAGACCGCACAGCACGGTCTTTTACACGCGCGCAGATTTGCCCCTCACGGCTCCCTCAGACCCCTGGCCCTCGTCCCCGTAAGCAGCTCAGCCTCCCCGTCCTCCTTGACAAGGTAGATGTCCTCGTGGCGCACGCCAAACTTGCCCTCGAGGTAGATACCTGGCTCGGCGGTGAAAGTCATGCCGGGAGACAGCAGAACGCCCTTGTTAAACTTGTTCAGGTAGGGAGACTCATGGGCCTTGATGCCGATCCCGTGGCCGAGACGGTGGGTGAAGCCGTATCCGTAGCCTGCATCCTCGATGACGGTGCGGGCGGCGATGTCGACGCTGGCAGCCGTCTGGTTGGGCCGGAAGGCCTTGGCTGCGGCGGTCTGGGCATCCAGGACGATCTGCCATACCTTGGCCTTTTCCTCGTACAGCGGGTCCTGCCACTGGACGGCCGCCTCCGTCTCCGAAGAGGACGAGGGCCCGTCGATGAGGAAGGATCTACAAATGTCAGACGAGTAACCCAGATAATGAGCGCCTACGTCGATGACGACCATGGTGTCGTACGTGAGCTCCTTGCCGCCCGTGACGAAGCCGCCGTGGGGGAGCGCGCCGTGCTCCTCGAACAGGACGATGTCGAAGAAGGGCTGGAAGCCGATGGAGAGGAGAGCGTTGTCCAGGATACTCATGACGTCGTCCTCGGTCAGGCCGGGGACGAGGCAGGGCCTCATGGCGCGCACGGCGACGACGGTACCCGTGTTGACGGCACGGACGAGCTCCACCTCGGCAGGGCTCTTTGTCTGGCGGACCAGTTCGACGGCCGGGGTGAGGCCGACGGTCCGGAACCCGGCAGACTCCAGCCCGCGGGTGATGAAGTCCCTCATCTCCTCATCCACCATGACCCTGACGGCTCCGCTGCTTCCGGCGCCGGCAAAGAGCCTGGAGTTGATCAGCGTCTCGTACGGGTCCCAGTGCTCCTCCCACTCCACGATGTCGAGCTCTTCGTCGTGCGAGGGTATGCCCAGCATGCGCACGCGTCCGGCCTCAAACGAGGGGGACAGGTAGGCTGTCTTGGCCCGGACCGCGTCGACCGCACCATCACCGCCGTCGCCGATCTCGGGCATGATGACCATGAGGAAGGGCCTCTCCTCGGGCTCCCACGGCTCCCAGTCCACCTGCGAGATGTTTCCGTAGTATTGGAACGTGTAGCCCGGCTCCAAGACGAAGGCGTCGATGCCGTCCGCCGCCAGGGCTCGCGCCAGCCTGTCGCGCCGCTCGAGGAACTCGCTCGCCTCGATTGGCGTCGCGCCGTCCAGGAAGGACAGGTCCGACCTGAGGTTGTCGATTGCACACTGCTGGACCTGCGCCGCCGAAGGATGAGGAGGAGCCTCCTCCGGCTGCTGATGCTTCTCCTCATGGTGACGGTGAGAAGAAGAGCTGTGGCGGGGGTAGGAGGAGAGCAGACTGGTCATGAGGAGAAGGGCAACGGCGGCCGTGAGACACCACTTCACCCTTGACCTGCGACTGCTCTGATCCCTCCGTTGCCGTGTGGCCTTGTCGTCGTATATCTCTGAGGAACCCATCCTTGTCTTCTGGAAAGAAGAGAAGAAGAAGAAGAAGAAGAAGAAGAAGAAGAAGAAGAAGAAGAAAAGAGGGAGAGAAAGAAGCCAAGAAGAGAATCAATTCCCCCCTTCCTCTGCTGTTGTGTGAGGAAAGGAAGGAGAATAGAGATGAGCGCCAGCAGCAATGGAAAATGCCAAACCAGCATTCAATGCCGGCCTTTCACTTTCGGACCCCGCCCCTCTTCCCCTTCGCATTGACCTTCCCTCCGGACCGTCGCTACAAGTTTATCTTCTTCATACTCCGCTCTGTTGATACTCACACCATATCATGACCCCGTACCCGCTCCCCCCAAAGTGGGAACTGATACGTGGGGTGGACTGCCAATTGGTGCCAAGGGACAAGCCCCCTCCCCCAAAAAAAAAGCGTGCAGGGATGTGTATTAGACGAAGCCGAAGCCTGTTTGATAATACTGTCTGCCGTATCTTTCGGCTTTTCAAGCGTCTCTTAGAGATCTATTGGTACATCGGAGGACTCTGAGGATAACCCCCCCCCCCCCCCCCGTATCGTACGTACCTGTACGTGGGAGGTGAAATCGGGATAAGGAACTGGTTTACCGACCAAGTTGAGATAAGTCAGGAAGCGGGACTTTTATCTCACCTCTATCTTGCTTTCCCTTTCATTCATTTCATTTCCTTCTACTCCGTATGTGTCTTTCTTATCCCTCTTTCCATCTCGCTTCTTCCTTTACTTTCTGCATATTAAACTTGCCCAGAAACATCGACGCTGATAATGACGACTCAAGTTGAAACCAAAGAGGCTGATGCTATCACCACGAGCCGACATGACGCGACCAAGCAGCTCGATAAGAAGCAGGAATCAGACATCGAGGTTGGCGTCGTTGTAGATGAACCGGAAAAGACATACTACAGTCGGTTGTCAGTCTGGCTCATGGTTTTGTTTTCTGGTCTAGCCATCGGATCAGACGGATAGTAAGATGCTCTTCTCTCTCTCTCTCTCTCTCTCTCTCTCTCTAGCCCTATTCCATTTCTACATACATGTACACATGTGATCCCCTCCCTTTCACTGCTCGAGATTCGTTTTTCGTCGTCCTTGACGTGGTGCATGATTTCGCATGGCCTCGCCCGACCCGTTAACTTACACGTGATGAAGCAACGCTGCCGTGATCGGAAATGTCCAACTCCTCATGGCAGTCATCTACCCCGACACGCTGACCAGCTCCATCTCGTCGCGCCTGAGCAATGCCTTCCTGATCGGCATGATCTTGGGGATGCTCATGTTCGGGCACGTGGTGGATCAGTTCGGGCGCAAGACGGGGGCCGTGGCGACCACCATCCTCCTCGTTGTGGGGATAGCCCTGTCGGCCGGGGCCAGCGGGACCACGGATCGGGGCCTGTTCTGGATGCTCATCGTGGCGCGGGGCGTGGCCGGGGTGGGTGCCGGGGGCGAGTACCCCGTGTCCGGGGCGGGTGCGGCCGAGGCCACGGACGAGAGCGATGCGTACCGCCGGAACCGTGGCTTCATGTTCGCCATGCTGGCCGACCTGTCGGCGTCGCTGGGGTACGTGTGGGCCGGGCTCACGCCTCTGCTCCTGCTGCTGTGCGTCGGCCAGCGCGAGTCCGGGTACCCGGCCGTGTGGAGGACGTCGTTCGCCCTGGGCGCCTTCCCGCCCCTCGTCATCTTCTGGTTCCGCATGCGCATGTCCGTCGCCACCGCCTACCGCCGATCCGCCATGCGTAAGCAGCGCGTACCCTACCTCCTCGCCCTGAAGCGCTACTACCGGCCCCTCATCGGCGTCGCCACATGCTGGTTCCTCTACAACTGGATCTCCATCCCCTTTGGCATCTTCAGCTCCACCATCGTGTCGCGCGCCAACGTCGGCAACAGCCTCGTCAAGAACCTTGGCTGGGGCGTCGTCATCAACTGCTTCTACCTCCCCGGCCCTTTCCTGGGCGGCTATCTCTCCGACAGGCTGGGCCGTCGCCAGACCATGGCCCTCGGCTTCTTCCTCCAGGCCTGCCTGGGATTCATCCTCGGTGGTGCGCAGTTCAAGATCCAGCCCATCTTCCCGCTTTTCGTCGTGCTGTATGGGATCTTCCTCACTCTAGGAGAGGTCGGTCCTGGAAGGTATGTACTGATGACACACATCACCTCCTATCTTACATACGCGCGCGCGCGCGTGTGTGTGTGGTTGATGGGCTAACTTGTCGAGTCGGATAGCACCGTTGTCCTTGCTGCTTCCGAATGCTTCCCGACCTCTATTCGCGGTCAGATGCTTGGCTTCATCGCTGCCTGGTCCAAGGCCGGGGCCGCCATCGGAACCCAGGTATTCACTGCCATCCTTAACTCGTACGTAGACGACCCCTCCAAGGGTGACCAGGTCGCTTTCTTGATCGGATCGGCCTTTGCCGTCCTCGGTGCCCTCGTGGCCTATTTCGTCATCCCGGACGTGTCGAGGCGTCTCGAGGATGACGACGAGGCCTGGAAGGCGTATCTGGCTGCCAACGGGTGGGAGGCCACTTGGGGTGATTCCGAGACCAAGGATCCTCAGGGTGTCATCATGGACAGATCTGCCAACTAGTAGTGTCTCTTAGAGGAGATGTGACATGGACTGGTACGTGTGCATACATACGCGTGGGTGGTGGGTGCATGGGTGCGTGCGTGTGTGTGTGTGTGTGTATGTTCAACTCATAATTTTGCAACCAAGAATCTTTACTTCTGATCAAACAAACAGCGGTACCGGTTGAGCTGTAGTCCGCAATAGCCATTGGGACTCCATGTCTTGGCCAGAGCGGACGCCACTTCAGGCAGCACGGATCCACGACTGGATACTCCCGAAATGGTAGCCTCTTCCCGTCATCTCCGGCCCATAGTGTGTATGTTTTGCCGAGGCCTTGACAGAGATAACGGGCTCGATCATGCACCAGCACGTATCGGTTACGATGCGCGCGCTAAAGGCCTCGACGGCATCGACGTAACTATGCTTAGCAGCCTGGCCGCATACGTGTCGGTTGGTGACGAGCATGAGCTGCGTATCATCTGCCTTGGCCTTTCCAGCGCACAGCTTGGCGACAAGGGCTAGTTCCGGTAAGGTGAGATCGGGGTTCCCCAGGGAGACCAGATTGATTGTGCCGTCGCTGCTGTCTGCAGTGCGATCTGCCGAGTTGGGCTCTATCCAGGGCCGCCTTAGGGCATGCCAGGCAGGGCCGGGTCGACCCCAAGCTGATCCCAGCGCTGACGGTCGTCTCTGAGCGAGCTGCACGTCGTGGGAACGACAAACTTGCCGCCTCGGTCGAGGAGCCTCTGGGGGATGAGCAGGCTGGTCTCGCCGACGCAGACGCACGCGTCAATGTAGACCCGGGAGACGTCAATGAGGCTCGTGGCGCCCTGCACGGCAGCAAGCTGCACAAGAATCTCCATGGCCATCTGTGAGTAGCCTCGCAGCTGCTGTCGAAGAGTTTTCGGTCCGACTCTGTCAGGGCCATGACCTGGTCCGTGGACGGGCAAGGCAGTGAAACGAAAGCAGTACTGCTAGTAGCAGTAGACGTGCTGCTTCCTTGTATAGCAGTAAGAGCACTACCAGCACATGTCACCACGAGTCCGTCGTGCCTGACATCTGCAGAATGGACACCCAGTAACATAGCAGAAACATCGTCGTCGTCATCGTCGTCGTCGAAGGGTTGACATCGCAGCCGCCTTACGGCAGTCGTACAAAGAGTCCGATGTTGGTGCTATCGCGATGATTGCGTGAGCACGAGTTACAGCATAGCCTTCTGATGTGGTTTAGGCCACTTGGGCTGCTATCTTGCTATCACGTCCCTATGACGATACAGATAGGAGCCAAAAAGTCGAGAGAGAATCATGGATGGAAAGCGCCCGTACACACAAATCAATATAGTGTATGAGTACTGCGATGATTCGTCGCCGACCTGCGTGAGTAGTGTACGCCGTCCAGTTGTTCCTGGGGGGCATTCGTAAGCGTAAAACACGAACGACTTCATAGGCTGACCAGATCGAAGCCGATATCTTTCTTTCTCGTTCTGTCACGTGGCTAACACGGACACTGTCATGATCTGTGCTGTTTTTTTTTTTTTTTGTTTTTTTACATCTTCAAAGCAATGAACGTATCATGTAACAAGATACTAGTTGAGGTGACAATGTTTGACGAGGTTGTGCTCTGTATTGCTGTCGTAGTTTACAACCACTATCAAGTATATGTACTCTCTCTGCTGGGCTAAACATTCATGATATCACAACTTGGCTCTACTATAATATCATATATTTATCATATATTATATATACCATGCCGGTACTTCTGCATCCGGTCTCTTGACCCTTGGACCTTGGCGCTCTTGGCATCATCTGGTGGCACCCGATGGCGTATCCACTGCATCTGGCCGTTCAGAGCTAATGGAGAAAGTGCCATAAAGATTGGGACAAAATAAGAATAAAAGCCGGGGGAAGATGGCTTGGCGTGATATATCTCTTTTTTCCTGTCCCCGATCATGAAGATACGGAAATGTACATATAGCATCTGAATGAAGAGGCTCAGTAATTATGTCAGATGGATATATCTGTAGGGTATGCGGAATATTTTATTTCCGTTCTGTATGTCCGACATACGGAGGCATTTTCGTCCGGTGAGACATTCGTGTGAGGAAAATCCTACTGATCAGCACGATACATCTGGCCTATCATCATAGCAGAGCCCCTGAGGCTTATGGGGTTATTTCCATGTGCGAGTAAGAAACAATACGGATCCCACCCGTACAAAACATGTTGCGATCAAGGTAGGTGCCGACCATGGGCCAAAACGCCACGGGTGAGAGCTGAGAGGGTTCAACGACCATATAAGATCAAGGCGTACGAAACGCGATGTCTGAGCAGTGACGAGTTCCTGGATCCGGCTGTTCGGTGTCACGATGCCAGGGTGCAAGACAGTTGCGTGCAAGATAGTTGCGTATCAAGAGGGTCCTCTCTGTCTCAGATCTCAGACATGAACAATGCAAAAAGTCGATTGGACAAGAGCCAGGAAAGAAGAGGAGGAGAAGGGAAAGGTGCATGATACAGACAGTTTCTTGTCTCCGAGACAACTGGACGCGACGAACCGGCTGGCGTTTTTGCCAAGATGCAAGGGAACACTGGGGGCATCTTCTTCTTCGTCCATGAAGCCCCGATGTGGCCTATCTCGTCTCGGGAAGGCAGCTAATATTTTTTTATTACCATCGTCGCAGCCCCGAGATTCCATTACAGGACATGCAAACTGGTTATCGATAGCCAGTGATTGACACCCGCCATTGTCGTTTCTTGCATTGATTATCGTCGTTTCACGCGCGCTGTGAGCTGCAGATGTGCCGATACAAGCGTGCCGATCTACGCGGATGGCTGTGTTTCTCATGTGTGGCTGTGTCGATGATTGTGTGTGTGTCGCAGACCTTTTGTATGCTTGATGAGAGGGAGTAGAGAAGGCTGATTAACATGGAATCCAAAGCGTAGATGGTGATAATACCGAGCAGAGAGATTGGGATTCTTCTTCTGGAGAGAGAGAGAGAGAGAGAGGGCATGGTTGAGAAGACGGAGAGAGGAGATGGGGATCAGGGAGGTGTAATAGTGGGCTGTCAGTGGACTGGTTGTACTCGTCATGTCATATGACTGGTTTGATTATTCAGCTGTACGAGAGGATGATGGTAGGGAGAGACTGAAGAGATGAAGGAGAGCAGGATTGGAAAAGGAAAAAAGAAGAGAGACGGGAAATGACGAACAGAGAAACTGGAAACGAGAAGACAGTCGGAGCGACGACAATATCATGCGAGATTTGTGTGTTTCGAAAGCTGGATGGGGCAGACCACATGTTCATGGGGCTGCTCTCTTTCTTTCCCCTGTTTCCTTGCCCCTTTGTTTCCTTGCCCCTTTGTTTCCTTGCCCCTTTGTTTCCTTGCCCCTTTGTTTCCTTGCACCTTTGTTTCCCCATGATGCATCACTTGCGAGTTGATACTGCATACTACTAGTAGCTGGCATCTATATCACCACCCTGAACAACCCCCTGCAGGATCAGATGATGTAGACCATGGGGACGATGGTGTGATTGACCCTGTAGACGTCACCGTTGGCCGTCATTGAGAGCAACTGGACCACTGGGACTGGGGGCACGATGGGCATGTGGAAGTCCTATGCCGCGCATCTTTCTGCACCTGCATCCGGTCTCATGTGGGCATCTGCCATCATTTTGTGGGAGAGTGACGTGATTTTGGGACGAAGAATCATCAGCCTTTTGGCTGTACGACCGTAAATCCCTTCTTCCCTGGTAGCCTTTGGTATCACTCACTCTTGGTTGCGTCCATGGTAATTCCGGTTTCCGGTATTCACAAGATAGCATTACATCACAACTCTGGCATCAGCTCCTTCTACCAAGAACCTCTGCCATGGTTGGACGGTCGTCACGTTATCATTATCTCTATCTGTATTGTGATCTGACGCGTGAAGGTGAGTGAAGTTATCCGATGTTTTGCTAGATGTGTGCCTGAGGCTGCACATCCGGGGATAGAAAACCTTCCTCCCCTTGTGGCATTCGGCCGTTGATGCAAGACGATTAATCACCCTACCTTCTATTGTCGTATCTATCAGTACCACCGGGACCATCGCATCGCAGTGTACGAGTACAGTTACTAGGCTCCCGCACATCCCGTTCAATCCCATCCAGTGGGAGGCGATGGCACTGGTAGTAGCTTTGCGAGAATGTACCCGTAGTGTAGACAGTAGATGTCCAGACGTACGCCAAAACGCAGTAGCCCGTGTATTAGCCCCCAGCTGCAGCCAATTTGGCAGCATCAGCAGTCCAACACGCGCTGTAGATCCGCGCTGGGAATGGCACTGGCGCTGTAACTCCGACACCTTGAGCACCAGTACTGCTACTGATACTCGCATCGTATTCCCAAGGGAATGGATGGACAGATGAAGACAGTATTAGTAGTAGTACTGCAAAAGGTTAGCAGTGTAATTGCAGTACCAATACGTGCTCATCCTCTCATAAGCTACAGACCAAGATGTAAGTATCGACTCATACTGATACATGCACATGATAGATATGTAATACCATCAATGCTTCATCACCGCCATCAGATCAGTGCCGAATTCGATCCACCCCTGCCCCTTTGCCCCCTGTCCTATTACTCCCTGCCCCTGTTACCCCATACGACTCAGCTATTCCCCAAAATAGCCTATACAAGCCATGCTATAGGGGATCCCTTTTTTTATGGTGGAGAAGGTGCGTCTGTGGCTGTTGTCACTTTGGGTCTTCTTTTTCTTTCTCTTTCCCTCCCTCCAACCGACATCATCGACTGCTTTCTCTCTTTTTTTTTGTTTCCTTCAAACCTCCCACCCTCCCCTTTTAGCATTATTGAGGTTTTTTTTTTTTTTAAAAAAAAAAAAAGCTTCTACGATCTCCTCTTTATCCCATCTTATTGTTCAGTAAACCATCTGTACTTTCTCCCCCCTTCCTCTTTTTATCGCGGGGCCCACAACTTTGAATGACGTGCTATCGTCGTCTTTTCGCACAATCCTCTTCTGGCCAGCCTTTCAACGCCTTTGTTGATGGCGTGCTAATGCTTCCAAAACACGTTTGATTCACACCTCCCTGGACTTGTTCTACGGTCCCGAGTCTCCACCGGTTCCCGCCCCCCTAGTCTCGCGCCTTGGCTTTCGGGAGTCGGACCTCCCTTTCGGTCAGCCTCCCGTCGTCTTACTCGGCATTTGTACGCTTTTAACAAACCAAGCCCAGACTCTGGCTACTCGTCTTCCGGTCCGGGATCCCCCCTTTCCCGCCCCCACTTGGGGGAGAACCTGTTTGATTCCCGGTCCTGGGACCTTGCTATCCATCATATCGGCAGCCAAGAAAACCTTAAAAGACACAAAGGGCGGGGGCCATTGGACGGACAAGATACAACTAGTTTCCCAGAGACTACGAGTATCTTGCGCATGGGAGTCAGCAAAGATGGTGTACATCGTTCTGTCTCGTGCCCAAGACGCACCAGTTCACCATAGTCACCCGCACAGGCGTACGAGTACGCGGCATGGGAAGCTGTCTGATGTCATTTCACCATCTGCCAGGCCCGCTATCCCTTCCTCTAGGGTCAATACCCGGGTGGAGGCGGTAGACGACGACGAGTGGGACGGCAAGAATAATGGCGCCGCCACGTCGACGCCGATGCCGACACCGTCTCGCTCGACTGCCGTGTCTATTCCCGGGAAGCATGTCGCTCCGCGATCTGCCAATGAGTATATGAACGAGCACAAGGACACCACTCCTGGAACATCCTCACGACCTGGTCTACTGTCTCCCGAATCCCAGACGCCCGGCACCCCAGACAGCACTTCTGCAAGCAAAGCAGCTGCCTCCTCTTCTGCCCCCGCTGCAGCCGCCGCCACCGACCGCACCAGCAGCACCAGCTTTTGGCGTTCCTGGAGAGGCATTGTCATCATGGTCGCAGCTTCATCCCTTGCCCTCGGTCTGGGCCTTGGCCTTGGCCTCGGTCTCGGTCTTCCCAACAACCAGAACAGGGATACCACCACCGGAGGAGGTAACAGCATCCAAAGCACAAAGCCCAACATTGTCTTCATCATGTCCGATGATCAGGACAAGCAGCTCAACTCGATGGACTACCAGAGTGCCATCCAGCGCGAGCTGGTCGCCAAGGGCACCCAGTTCGTCAACCACTACACCAACACCGCTCTCTGCTGCCCGAGCCGCTCCACCATCCTCCGTGGTCAGACTGTTCACAACACCAACCTGACCAATGTCCAGCTCCCTGGGTAAGTTTTTAGCTTCTTCCCCGCCTCTCCACACGTGCCTACACACATGTACATAGAATAATGCCTCTACACCACCCTCTTCCTCTACTCTCCGATACCCCACACACTTGCATACATACGTACAGCACACCTACACGCCCACACACACCTACACACCCTCGGGCATAAACTGACTCAACACACGGGCTTCTCAGTGGCTCCTACAACAAATGGGTGGCCTCTGGTCAGGATGAAGAGTATATCCCCCACTGGCTTCAGCAGGCAGGCTACAGGAACGAGTACGTCGGCAAGATTATGAACGGCTTCGGTACCTCCAACTACAAGACTGTTCCCAAAGGTTGGGATCATAGTGACATGCTGGTACGTCATCTTAGTTCCACCACTAGTAGTTGCTTGCCATCTTTAGCTTGTCACCCTAGCGCGCTACCCCTTGAGCTCTGATATACCTCTACACCCTCACATCACCCTCATCATCCCCATCACGCCATACTCGACTAACGTTTCTGGGCCTAGCTCGAGCCTTACATCGACGACTTCAACACCCCCGTCTTCTCGGCCAACGGGGAGGACCCCGTCTATTACGAGGGCTTCCATCAGACGGATGTTATCCGCATCAAGGCGTACGTATACATTACTATTCCCTCACCCCGGTATACTGTCTCCTGATTCCAACGGAGAAGGGAACGTGGATCTCACCGTGAGAGCTGCAGTTCAGCTGACACCTCATACATAGCCTTGACCGTCTGGATGCCCTCGCCGCCCAGGAAAAGCCCTTCTCCCTCTTCATCTCCCCGTTTGCGCCCCACATCGGCAGCATCGGCCAGAAGGCTCAGAGCCGTCCCATTCCCTGCAAGAGGCACAACCAGCTGTTCCCCGATGTCAAGGTTCCGCGCAACCCCAACTGGAACCCTGATGACGAGTACCAGCAGTCCAAGGGGGGCTGGCTGGGCTTCCTGCCCAAGATGACCGACACCATCATCGACTTTGCCGACTATGCCTACCGCTCGCGTCTGCAGGCCATTCAGTCCATTGACGAGATTGTCGAGGACGTCATCGCTAAGCTCGAGGAGAAGGAGCTCCTGAACAACACCTACGTCATCTACACGTCGGACAACGGTTACCACGTCGGCCAGCACCGTGTGCCCGCTGGAAAGTCGCTGTTCTTCTCGGAGGACACCAACCTCCCCTTTGTGGTCCGAGGGCCCAATGTGCCTCAGAATGTGACGTCCAAGGTTCCCGGCCTTCACCTGGACCTTGCCCCCACCTTTCTGGAAATCGCCGGTCTGGACCGTTCGAAGTGGCCCGAGTTCTTTGACGGCCGCAGCCTGCTGAACCAGTGGCACAACCCCCAGACCAGCAACGGTGACGGCTCTGGCAAGGGCAACGGCAAGGAGAGCATCAACGTCGAGTACTGGGGTCTGGCCTCCATCGAGGCTCCCAGCGGCGGCAGCCTGGGCTCTCCCTTCTACAACACGACATACAAGACCATCCGCACCCTGGGTGAGGACCAGAGCTGGCTGTACACCAAGTGGTGTAACGGCGATGCCGAGCTGTACAACACGTCTGACGACCCGTATGAGCTGACGAACCTGATACCCGCTGGCGCTCACAAGCGTGTCGAGGATCGGCTGAACGCCCTGCTCATGGTGACCAAGTCGTGCGAGCAAGGGTCCTGCCGCGACCCCTGGGGCCTCATAAGCCCGCCGGACGGTGCCCGTCTCACCACCCTGGGCCAGGCTCTTGACGCCTCCTACGACAAGTTCTTTGCCAACTTTGAGCGCGTCTCCTTCAACCAGTGCCTCACCTTCCAGGTTACCGACAACGAGGGCCCTTACTACCCGGAGATTACGGATGAGAACTCGGGTCTCGGTCGCGCCTACCGCAAGCCCACCTCGGGGCTGTCGTACAAGTTTGGCACCAGGAAGATCACCGCCAATGGTCTCCACGGTACAGCTGCCCAGCGCAATTCCACCTACGATGAGCTCACTTCATCGTCTCGCAAGCTGACGGCCGACGAGATTAATACGAGCTGAGCGCATACGGTTTCCTTCTTGGATATGTCTCTTTTTGCATTTATGATAAATTTTCAAGCCATTTAGCCACTTGGCATGCGCATATAATGTCCTTCTACGTTTCAGCTTCTCTTTTAATCTGTTTCTTCCTGACGTGAAATCACCCGCGTTAGCAATATTTTCAGGGACGGCAGCACCGGTCCTTTTAGACATTGATTTTCTGAACATACCACGCGCGGCCGGAATCGATTACACCTGTGACTTCTTGATAGGTAGAAACGCATGCAGCTTTAGTTGACACATACTATATATCATGAAGAATTGAGGCGCGTTCTCAGCCTCCTGCCTTGAGTATCCAACATGCGCACATACCGCGATCCCATTAGGCCTTGGCGGCAGCACTAGCCAACGAAGTAATCTCGGCGGCGATAGCATCGCCGAGACTAGCAGTAGACCCCCTGCCACCCACATCCGGAGTCACGACTGCAGGGTCGGCAGCACCGAGCACATTCTCGATAGACTTGAGGATGAGATCGGCAGCGTCGGTGTATCCAAAGTGGTGCAGCAGCATCTGCCCGGCCCAGATCATGCCGACGGGGTTGGCCAGGTTCTTGCCAACAATGTCCGGGGCACTCCCGTGGACGGGCTCGAACAGGCTGGGAAACTCGCCCGAGGGGTTGATGTTGGCGGAGGGGGCGATGCCTATGGTGCCGGCGCAGGCAGGGCCCAGGTCAGAGAGGATATCGCCAAACAGGTTGCTGCCGACGACGACATCGAAGATGTGGGGTCTCTGGACGAAGTGGGCGGTCAGGATGTCGATGTGGTACTTGTCCAGCTGGACGTCGGGGTACTCCTTCGCCATCTCGGCGACCCTCTCGTCCCAGTAGGGCATGGTGATGCTGATGCCGTTGGACTTTGTGGCGCTGGTCAGCCTCTTGCGGGGTCGGCTGCGCGCCAGGTCGAAGGCGTAGCGGAGCACCCTGTCGACGCCGGTCCTGGTCATGACGGTCTCCTGAACGACGGTCTCCCTCTCGGTGCCGCCGAAGATGCGGCCGCCGATGCTGCTGTACTCGCCCTCGGTGTTCTCCCTCACGATCCAGAAGTCGATGTCCCCCGGGCCCCGGTTGGCCAGGGGGCTGGGCACGCCGGGCATCAGCCGCGACGGGCGGAGGTTGATGTACTGGTCGAACTCGCGGCGGAACTTGAGGAGGGAGCCCCACAGCGAGACGTCGTCCGGGACCTCGGACGGCATGCCCACGGCGCCGAAGAAGATGGCATCGAACCCCGAAAGCTGGGCCTTCCAGTCCGCAGGCAGCATGTCCCCGTGCGCGGCGTAGTAGGCGCACGACGAGAAGGTGAAGTGCTCGAGCTCGAGAGTTATGCTGCAGGCCGACGCCGCGGCCTGCAGGCACCGTACGCCGTAGGGCATGACCTCTTGGCCTATGCCGTCGCCTGGGATGACGGCGATGCGGAGGCGTCCTGAGCGCATCTCGGTGTTTCGTCAGAGGGGGAGTGGGCGTGAGGGTGGTAAGATTGTAAGATATCCGATAGTATCAGAAAAGATGTCTGGTAGAATAGAGATAAGATCAACAAGTAAATAGAGAGAAAGAAAACGGTCACCTGAACATGTGAACATGAGTGAAGAGGGAAGAACAGACATGGGAAGGGTACAGGCGTCTGTGGCCTCTGACTTATAATAACAATCCCCGTGCGGAGAAGACGTACAGCGCTGGTTGTCGTTGTATTATTGGCAATTGCAGGCTGTAATCTATCTGCACGGTCCGTTCATGTCCCGACGGTTAGAGCGGGGGGGGGGGGCGTCGAGTAAGTGGGGACAGACTCGAGTCCGCCTAGACTGCTCCGGGACCGGGGATCTCGCAGTGGAGAGGGGTCGGGTTGGGAGCGTTGGTCGCCAGGATGTCGCGCGGCAAGCACGATTCCACGATGAGTCCGTCGTCGCATGCACTTTACAGGCCGGGACGGCGGGATAGTCCGTACGCGGAGAGCTACCCGGCTCTGACTGCTCTAACTCTTTATGGTGAAGCTTTTCAAACCTCAGCGCATGGCAGCACGTGGAGCCGGGTGTTCTGTGCCATGCACCACGTACGGGCAATTCATTAGTGAGGAGTTTAAAAGATTGAAAATGACTTTATATGGAAGTTTGTATTATATCTGTGCCGACAGAAGACGGCCTCGTATCTCTATTGACATTGGAAATCAGTATCCATCCTCCGTACGGATACGTATGCAAGCACTAAACAAACACGCACCTTCCGGTTGTCGTTGCACGTCTCGGTGCGCCATAGAACAAGCCACGCCTGCGATCAAACAAATCGACAAGAACCCATTCGTCGGGCAACCTGCAGGCTCCGTACCCACCACAGACGGCGCTGTATCTTGGGCCTTGGCGGATGAGATTGTGGCTGGTGAGAATAGTGGCACCATGGACCGGGGTATCGAGCTCGTCGCCCCCGCAACCACCAACGCAGTCGATTGTTTCCTCCCTCTTCCCTCTCCCCCCCACTCCCTCCCCCCAGAGCTCTGGGAGAGGACGACCCCTTGGGCTGTTGCCGTGTCGGTTCCCATTTCGGGGGTTTTCTTGATTCTTTTTTTCCGCTTCATTGCAGATTCATTCACACGCGTGTAATCAACAGCAACAACAGCATCATCAACGTCAAAGACCTTCGTCCCAATCTGATCATGTTTGGCTAAACGGCTTGCCTGATTGGAGAAACCCCACCGACAGCCGTCAACAGCTTTACATACCAGCAAAGCTTCGATACACCGCCGTTGACGTTGGGCATTCTGCGACAAAAAAAAAAAAAAAAAAGAGGACAGCATTCCTCGCATCCCGCTACGGGCCGCACGCCACTTTTCCTTCCTCTCCCCTCTTCCTCTCTCTTATCATCACGGTCAATTGCCCCGTCAGGAAGGAGCAGGAACGTCACGTCCTTCGCTCTCAAGGCGACGTCGTCGCCGCCATGGCGCCGACCCCAGACGACCTCTCGTCGGCAGGGTCCGTCTCCTACGATTCCGAGACCATGACGGTGGGAGACGGAACCTGGGACTTTTCCAAGAATACCTTTTTACTGCCCAACCTCCAGGGCGTCAACTTTGACACCATGCGTTACAATGGTCGGTTCAGCTCGAAGAGAGACGGGGCGGGACGAGATAGCTGACAACCTCTGGCAGGCATGGGAAATCGATTCTCTACTCTCACGCAATACCACAAGATCATCCTCGGCCACGCCATCCTCGCCGCCATCGTCTTCCTCCTCCTCGCCCCGAGCGCCATCATGGTCCTCCGCTTCTACACCGGCCGACCCGGCTACGCTCTTCGATACCACGCCCGCATTCAGACCGTCGGGCTCATCCTGCTCACGGCCTCCTTCATCCTCGGAAACATTGCCGTCGGGCCCGCCCGCAGCCTGACGAACCCGCACCACGGCATCGGCGTCGCCCTGTACGTCCTGTACACCGTGCAGTTCTTCGCCAGCCGCCTCGTCTTCCGCATCCAAAAGGCCCACTCGCTGCGCGTCACGCTGCACCAGTGGATCGGCCGCGGGATGGCCCTGCTGGGCATGGCCCAGGTTCCCCTCGGTCTCACCCTCTACGGCTGCCGCGAGTACCTCTTCATCCTGTACGCCGTGTGGATGGCCCTGCTGGTCGTCGTCTACTTCGTCCTCGACTTCCGCGCCGGCACCCGCCGTGAGCTGCTCCTGTCTGGCCCGCCACGCTCCGAAGCTGGCCACACCCGTGTCTCCGACTCCGAGTACTTTTCCGAGAGGCCCGAGCGTGAGCACGGCAGCAGGTGGAAGTGGCTGGGTCCCCTGGCCGGCGCCGGCGCCGTCTGGATGCTCCTCCGCGGCGGACGCAGGAACAAGGACAAGGACGCCGATTCGTCCAGCTACCGCAGCCACTCGCCCTCGCACCGCAGCCGCAGCCGCAGCCGCAGTGACCGCCGCGGCTCGCCCAGCTACTACGACTCGGAAAAGTACACGGAGATGTCCACGTCGCGCAGAGAGAAGGGCGGCGGCGGCGGCGGCGGCGGCGGCATGATGAAGCTTCTCGGCGGTGCCGCCGCTGCCTTTGGCGCCGGCAAGCTCTTCTCCAACTACATGGACCGCCGGAGAGGCCAGCGCGATGACGAGGAGTACTCGGCCGTGTCGACCGAGACCCCCCGCCGCCACCGCTCCGGCCGTTCTGCCGGACAGAGCATGCTAACCAGCGACTACGACTCTGAGCTGGCCAGCGACGTGCGAGGCGATCCCACCAGGACGTCTCTCCTCTCCGAGTCCATCCCCCCCTCGGCCATGGCCGGGGCCATCAGCGCCGCGACCCCCCGGCCGAAGGCGTCTCGCCCGCCGCCAGCCCGGTTCAACCGCGGCCGCCGTAACAGCTTCGAAGAGTCAGAGTACGTGTCGTACGTCAGCCCGTCCAGCCGTCCTGTGGACGACTACGACGACGAGAGCCACCACCACCACGCCGGTGCCAAGTCTGCAGGTGGCGTGCTCGGCGGCATCGGCCTCGGCTGGCTCAGCAAGAAGTGGATGGACAGACGATCCAGGAAGGATGAGGAGAGACGCCTCCAGGAGGAGGAGGACATGCGCTCGGGAGTCTCTGGCTCACGTTTCACGGGTGACGGGTATCCGTCCCCAACGAGGCGTCCCTCCAAGCGGCCGAGCGCTAGGCCCACCTCTTCACGACCGACTCAGAGCGCACCCACCGACATGACCGAATCTTCGTACCTGGATGACGAGACGGCAGGCCCCAGCTACGTCGGCCCTCGGCCCACGGGGCCGGTCCCCCTACCGGGTGGGCGCCGGGACCGGTCACGCTCGAGACGCCGCCACGAGCCCGTCTCCATGCCTGCCATGCCTCCAGATCCCGACCTGCAGTCTGACATGGGGAGCTCCTACGTCACAGAGGCCCGTCCGCAGAGGCGCGACTCGTCCAGGCGGCGCAGGGCGGGAGAGAGAGCGACGGCGGCCGCGGCCGCACGGGCGTCCGAGCTGGCCGCCGATCAGGAGCGCGAGAGGGAACGCTTCGGCTCGCCGCACAGCAGCCGCCCCCTCAGCGTGACGCTCAAGATGCACGACGACCGGGACAGGAACGTGACGCTGCGCCGCCTGACGGACGAGGAGGCACGTGCCGCCCGCGGACCGCGGGGACGCAGCCGCGCCGACTCGGACGGTAGCATCTCGGGCATGGACTCGCCCAGCTACGGGCGCAGCCGGTACAGGCGACAGGCGTCCAGAGCAGGCAGTCGGCAGACGTCGAGGCCGGGTAGCCGACAGACGTCACGGGCGGTCAGCCGCCAGCGGTCAGAGATGGCGTCCGAGAGCAGGGTGGAGAGCAGGCCGCCCAGCAGCAGGCCGCCCAGCAGCAGGAGGCCGCGCGACCGCGGCGACGACGACGACGACGACGACGACGACGACGAAGACGACGAAGACGACGAAGACGACGACGACGAGGGTCAGCAGTCAACCATCGGGCCCCTGTCGCCGCCGAACCCTGCATCGGCCAAGCCTGGCAGCGGTGGTCGTCGAGCAGGCGGCAAGGACTCGGCCTACTACTCCGGAAACCCTGCAGCGGCAGCAGGGCCGTCGGAGACGTCGGCGCCGCTCGTCCCCTCGGCGGCCGGCGCCGATCAGACCGTCTCCAGCCTGGCCAGCCACGACGAGAGCCACGGGACGTGGAGCCAGATGACTCCCTCGCTTGGCGGTGACGGCGGTGACCAGACGGCTCCTGGATCGGCAGCGGATAACAGGAGAAGACGGAGGCTTGAGAGGAGGAGGGGGAGCAGCAGTCGACCTACCACAGCGACGGACATGTTTGACTAGATCTGGTCTTTTCTTCATCTCCGAGTCCCCTTCCTCTCTTGCCGTCTGCCGTCGTCTGCTGTCTCTCTTTTCTGTCTTTCTCTTTTCTGTTTTGTCATCTTTCTGTTCACGGTTGTTAAACGTGTCTGGTCAGCACGGTTGGCGTTCAAAGCATATTTCTGTTTTTTTTTGTTTTTGTTTCTTCTTGTGTATGTTTGTCATTGTTTCCCACGAAGATGGAGGGCCTTTGTTCTGAACAATTCCCGTATGATTTTTTTTTTCTGTTTTTTTTTTCTGTTCCTTTATGTATCGGAGGATGATGTGGAAAGAAATGTTTTAGTATATGGATATTGTAGTGTGGATCGATGCCGCTGATGAGGACATTCAGAAGATAAGATGCAGCTTATAATACGAATTCACGTTCACCCATGTACAAGCCAAACAGGCAGTAAACCCGTGACTTCTGGAGCAATCGATGGGGAAAAGAAGAAAAAGCAAGAAACAAAAGGCAAAGAGAAGTAGGAAAGCTAACCGAGGAATGTAAAGTGACTGATAAGACGATTAAGAAAGATGAATTTACAATTCGGTATCCTAAAACATGTACCGGGTAACTCTTTTTGTGAACCTCGGCAGATGACACACACACCCCCAAGCTTACCGCGTGCAACAAGGAGAAAGCTCGGGATGGAGCTGCACCGTCATTGCCATCTCCCCACGTGAATGTGCCCCCCCCCCCCCAATTGCCCTCCAGTCTCTTCTTTCCCGACAGCGAATGACGTTCCCCGACGATACAGAACGAAGGAGCGATACGAGATCGATATACTACACACACATATATATATGATTGATGCTCTAGGAGAGAAAGAAGAGACCGGACAACGATATACATCCGAACCATCTAGACCCTCGACATGGCCATACCGTCGCATCGAGCGGCGGCGGCGAGGAGGAGACGTCGTCGTCGTCGTCAGGACAAGCCTCCCGTGCCTGTACGGCTGGTCCTCGATGACCAGATAAGGGGGGACGTGGGCGTCGTATCGGAGGATCTGTTCCAGGAACTCTTTCCTCACCGTGAGTGTAGTGTCTTCCGGCCTCCTGGAGAAGGGGGACGATTGGATGACGGAGGATGGGGGAAGCTAACGGGGCGACAGACGAACCGGCAGAAGGAGGAGACATTGTATACGTGGCGATCGCACCGTGGACGCCGAACGCGACGCCGTCGGACTCGCCCTGGTCCATTGTGCCCGTCAGCCGATCGACGACGGGCGGGTCGTGCAAGATGTACTTCTCGCCGTCGTCGGCGAGCCTGCAGCGGTTCGCGGTGGCGCTGCAACGCCTCGCGCCGTCCAAGCTTGCCGGCCACCGGGGCGGGATCGACATCCTCGCCCTCGACGCGGCGCCGCTGGCCCTGGACACCGTCTACGTCAGCCTGGACGGGGAGCTGGCCGAGCGTCTGGCCGCAGGCGAGGGCACCTTCTTCAGGGAGCACCCGACCGTGACGGCCAGGGCCAACGGCGCCGCCGCCGCGCCCGACGAGAAGCTCGCGGCCGCGTTGAGGTACGCCCTGGGGAGCCTCGACGTGGTCCACGCCGAGGACCTCTTCCCACTGCCGCTGCCGCCTCACCCCGTCACCCACATGCCTACCGCCCCCGGCAGGATCGCCTTGTGCGAGCCCGTGGCGCAGGGCGTGCTCGTGGACGCGACCAAGATCATCGTCATGCGCGGGCGGGGACGCGGCGGCGTGAGCGCCGGCGCCGGGAGGCAACGCTCGAGACTGGCGGCGGCAGTGACGCCGTCCATGGCCGACGGCGGCAGCCAGAACGGCTCCCGCGACGACGACGAGACCACAGACCAGTTCTTCTCCGCCGCCGAGGATCGCAACCGGTCCGAAGCACCCAGCGCATCCGAGGTCGACACGGCGACCGAGACCGAGACGGACATGTCCGAGCTGGACGGGCACAACGACGACAACGACGACGACGACGACAGCGAAATCTCCGACGACGACTCGCTCGACGGCATCATCTCCCTGCAGGTCCCCACGCTGCCGGCGTCGGCGGCCAGCGGCGTGTCGACGATGCAACCCGGCTCGCCCATGACGGTGGGCACCATCCGCGGCCGCAGGACCAACGGCCTGGCCACGCCCAGCTCCGTCTTCTCCAACATGACGTCCGCCACCGCCAGGCCCGACAAGCCTCGCGGCAGGCTGTTCCGCGCCCAGGGCCTCACGGCCCCCATGCCAACCGACCTGCTGCACCCGCGTCCGGCGCCTGATGATGACGACGAGGCTCGCGTCTACGTGCACGTCTCGTCGCTGCCCAAGATCGGCTGCTTCTCGGGCGACTGGGTGCGCATCGAGTCGGCCCCCGAGCCGCCCTCCAACGGCTTCGGCGCCTTCGGCCTAGGGAGCTTCACCCGCCTCGACGATGCCGCTGGCGCCGGCGCCGACTCAGCCAGCTGGAGGCCCGTACGCGTCTATGGCCTGCCCGAGGGGTACGCGCCCCGACCGATGACCAGGATCCCCAGCGCCCGCCCGGGAGAGCGCAAGCTGTCCTTCTTCGAGTCCCAGGTCGTCCGCCCCGCCAGCCCAACGGCCTACGCATCGCCCATCATCCTCGCCAACCTCGGGGGAGCGGCCTACCTGCGCATATCACCACTCAAGAAGACCGCGTATCAGGGCAGGGGCACCCTGCCCCGCTTCACCGGCGCCTCCCGCCCCCCCCACGCGAGAGACATCACCATCTACCACGTGCGCACGCCCATCTCGGCCGAGCGCGCATACCAGACGGCCGTGCTGGGCGGGCTCAAGCGTTTCTTCGCGTCCAAGACACGCCTCGTACGGTCCGGGGACCTGATTGCCGTGCCCGTTGACGCTCAGCTGGGCCGCGCGCTGCAGGAGACGGCGGCATCTGGCTCCGGCGCCGGATCCGAGGTGGACGATATCGTGGCCCTGAGTGGTGCCGGTCAGACCAGCAGCGGCAGCAGCCAGATCGACAGCGTAGCGTGGTTCAAGGTCGGCCACATCCAGATCCAGAAGTCGGACGAGGACGAGGACAGCACGGCCGAGAGCTTCTGGGGGTCGGTGGCGTGCATCGACAGCTCGTCGGTGGGCATGCACGGCTCCGGTTTCCAGACGAGCCGCATCCCGGGGACGAGCAACAGCTCCTGGCCGTACTACCTGGGGCTCAGGAAGCCGCCGTCGTCGCGAGGGGATTCGTCGTCGTCGTCGGCCGACGGGGCGGCACCACCCCCGGTGCTGCCGCCGCCCGAGCACGAGCAGAAGCAGGTCAGCTACGTGTCGCCGCTGCGGCGGCAGCTCCGGCAGCTCCTCTCGGCGGCGACGAGCAAGCGGGCCATCGCGCTGGGCATGCCCCCGGTGGCGATCCTGCTGACATCGTCACACCGCAACATCGGCAAGGCCACGCTGGCGACGACGGCGTGCGCCGACATCGGGCTGCACACCTTCACCGTCGACGCCTACGACATCCTGAGCGAGGGCGCGGGCGGCGGCGGCGGCGGCGACGTCAAGACGGAGGGCTTCCTGCGGACGCGCGCCGAGAGGGCGGCCAGCTGCGGCGCCGACTGCTGCGCCCTGCTCGTCCGGCACGTCGAGGCGCTGACGGCGGATCGCATCGAGTCGACCTTTAGGGAGATACTGACCGAGGTGCGCGTCCTGGTGGCCACGGCCAACGAGGTGGACAAGGTGCCGGACGGGGTCCGGGCACTGTTCACGCACGAGCTCGAGATGGGCGCGCCGGACGAGTCAGAGCGCGAGTCGATTCTGCGGGGCATCCTGGACGACCGGGGCCTGCGGCTGGAGCCAACGGTCGACTTCAACGCCATAGCGCTCAAGACGGCGGCCCTCGTGGCGGGCGACCTGGTTGACGTCGTGGACCGGGCTTCGTCGGCGCGGCAGTCGCGCCTCGAGGCCCTGGCGGCGTCGGCACCGGGCGTCACGGTGCGCGACGTGCAGGTGGCGGGCGGCCCCGCGGCGCGCTGCCTGACCCGAGGCGACCTGGACGGGGCGGTGGAGGCGGCCCGCAAGAACTTCTCCGACGCCATCGGCGCGCCCAAGATCCCCAACGTGTCGTGGGACGACGTGGGCGGCCTGTCCAACGTCAAGGACGCCATCTCGGAGACGATCCAGCTGCCGCTCGAGCGTCCCGAGCTGTTCGCGCGCGGCATGAAGAAGCGCTCGGGCATCCTGTTTTACGGCCCACCCGGCACGGGCAAGACGCTCCTCGCCAAGGCCATCGCCACCGAGTACAGCCTCAACTTCTTCAGCGTCAAGGGCCCCGAGCTGCTGAACATGTACATTGGCGAGTCAGAGGCCAACGTGCGACGCGTCTTCCAGCGCGCCCGCGACGCCCGCCCTTGCGTCGTCTTCTTCGACGAGCTCGACTCCGTGGCCCCCAAGCGCGGTAACCAGGGCGACAGCGGCGGTGTCATGGACCGCATCGTCTCTCAGCTCCTCGCCGAGCTGGACGGTATGTCGTCCGGCGGCAGCGGCGGCGGCGGCGGCGGCGGCGACGGAGAAGACGGCGATCGTGCCAACGACTCGGGAGGCGTCTTCGTCGTCGGCGCGACCAACAGACCTGACCTGCTCGATCCCGCTCTGCTCCGTCCCGGCCGCTTCGACAAGATGCTCTATCTCGGTGTGTCGGATACCCATCAAAAACAGCAGACTATTCTCGAGGCACTCACCCGCAAGTAAGATTTCTTTCTCTTTTCTTTCTTTCTTTCCTTCCTTCTCCTTTCTGTCCCTGCCCCTCTCTTTATTTTTTTTTTTAAAAAAAAAAACCCTCCCCCATCTAACAACTATAGATTCAACCTCGACCCATCCCTGTCTCTAGCATCCGTCGCATCCCGTCTGCCCTTGACGTACACAGGAGCAGACTTCTACGCTCTGTGCAGCGACGCCATGCTAAAGGCCGTGACGCGCCAGGCCACAGCCGTAGATATCAAGATCCGTTCCCTGTCCTCCTCCCCCTCCTCCGAATCGGCCTCGGGCCAGGGTCGAGGCACCACCATGTCTACTGCCTACTTCTTCGATCACCACGCCACGCCTGCCGATCTGGCCGTCGTGGTGACCGAGGACGACTTCGCCGCCGCCCAGGCCGAACTGGTCCCCAGCGTCAGCCAAGGCGAGCTGGAGCACTACGAGAAGGTCAGGGCGGCCTTTGAGCACTCCTCGCCTGACGAGAAGAAGGCGGGGGAGGGTTTGGACAAGGCCAAGGGTAAGGGCAAGGCCGTGGCGGATCCTGCTGCTATCGATGCTGGCAGTATGAGTGCCGGGTCTGCTTCTACCGTCAGGCGGAAAAGGGATAAGGGGAAGGGTAAGGCTGTCATGGGGTTCCAGGAGGAGAATGCGAGCGATGATGACGAGCTGTATTGAGCGTGTTACGACAAGTAGAGTTGCATTCGTCTCCATGTAAAGCAATAAAAGGAAAGAAGGCGAAAAGAAAAAAGAGAGGGAGCTTGATTGTATTATATAACGGAGGATCAGGATATATATATACATATATAAACGACTGTATTACACCGCCGCCGAGATAGATATATATATATACTCTCGTTGGCTTTGTGATTCTCTGATTTGCGGTAACAAGCGGGGGAAGCGGGGGAATGGGGGGGGGGGGGGGGGGGGGGACCGGAGGAAACTGGATCAGACCAAGGCGACAAAAACTAGTTATACACGACTTAAGAAAGGAAGAAGGAAGGAAAAGAAACGGAATCAATAAATAGGCAATGGCGTATAGATGCTCAACAAGCACAGGAGGAGCAGCTGCTAGCCGTCTTTTTCGACTCCTTCTTGTCGTCGTCGCTTTCATCATCGTCGTCGTTGTTGCTGGCTTCTTGCTTGACGGCCGAGGGGGGAGGCATGGTTCGTACGGGGAGCCTCCACGTCGCGGTCCTAGGACTCTGGACGTGACTCGTAGTATCGTCAGTGTCGTCTTGCCGCCACTTTCCCGTTGTGGGGGACTGCAGACCTGTCATGCTGATGGCTGTGAGGTCGTCGGGATTCTCCTTGGCGACCTCTTCCGTGGAGGTTATCTTAGCAGCTTTCTTTCCATCTTGTTTGTCTCTGCCATCGTCGTCGTCATCACTGTCGTCGGCCGCTTCCGCCTTGCTATCTTTTGCCTTGGTGTCCTTGTCGTCACCGTCGTCGTCGTCGTCGTCATCGTCGTCGTTGTCGTCGTCTGAATCTTTATCAACATCCTCATCCTTCTTGCCTTCCACGACTTTAGTCTTGGTATCCTTCTTGGCACCATCTTCCTTGGCCTCTTCCTTGAGCCCGGCCTTTTCTTCAGACTTGCCCTCAGACTTGCCCCCGGCCTTGTCCTCGGATTTGGCCTCAGCCTCCTCCTTTTCGAAAGTCCCAGTCGAAGATGTACTGCCCGACTTCTTGCCGTGAACCTTTTCACGCAGGCTCTTGAGACGGAGCTCCTTGGCCTTCTGGGCGGCCTCATCGGCGACGGACTGCAGAGGCTTAGGTTCCTCCTTCTTGATCTCCTTGGCCTTGGGGGCACCGGCACCAGGTTCTGTCTTGGTGGTGGGGATGGGTGTAGGCTTGGTCTGACCCGGCACGGGAGCCGGGGGCGGGTTCGGAGGTGCAGGGGTACCCTGGGTGGCGGTCGATGTCGAAGTGACGTCTTCGGTCGACTTGGATGCTGCAGCGGCTTCCAAGCCAACGGCAGCGGCGGCAGCAGCAGGACCAGAAGGAGCAGCGGGCTTCTTCTTGACCGGCTTTCGGAGCTTGGAGGGGGGGTGCTTGTTGTGGATGTCTGGGATGGTGTGTTCGTCGTAGTAAATCTTGACGTGCTGCATCAGTTCGCCGTGTTCGTTCCAGTCTTCAATCTCTACAATGTCCTGTACAGCAGAAGGCGGGGCATGTCAGTCATGGCGGCAGGAGAAAGAGGCTGGGGATGGATATGGGTCGAATAATAGAGAAGGGGGGGAGTGGTAGAGAGAGAGAGATATTACGTACACCTAGGACGAGACCCTCCTGAACCAAGGCCGGCATCTTGCGCTTCCTCCCAGATTCATCCTTGCCGGCACGACGGCCCCATAGCATACGAGCCTTCTCATCGGTGGCAATGTCGACAGCCTTGAAGGGGATGCGGTTGGCGCGCAGGATGGTCTCGAGACGAGAGGTGGCCGTGACAATGTGGGAGGATCCGGCTGTGAGGGACGTGTAGATCCAGAGGGCGGGGTCGGTCGAGTAGGTGGTCATGGCGGGCGGCGGCCGAGTTGCCAAGTTCGAGCTTCTAGGGATTCTCTGCTGCAGTTTCTCTGGATGAGAGGTGGACGGTGTTGCTGCTGTTGCTGTTGTCTTGGTGGAAGATGGATGGTGTTGGTACGGAGTACGGAGTACAGTACGAGTACGAAGAGTGGTAGTGGTTAGTGGTAGTGGTACATAATAGTGGTTGGTGGCTGATAGTATTACGGAGTAGATTACGGAGCAGAGTGGCATATCGAAGGCCCATGTGACGTGGGGGAACGAGAAGACGGACAGAAAAGGGGCGAATGAGGGGTTCTCAGGCTTCAGGTTGTGGGCCGGTGGCGGGTGGAAGCAATCCAAGCCAGCAGCCTACAGGGCCGCAGGGGTGCACAGCCTATGGGCCGGCCCTAGACGATGGTGCAGCCTAGGTTCTATTACCCTGTTGGTGCTGAGGCCCCGGGGGTCTGTGAGAACCACTTCATAATATTACCACTCTCAATACCATTTTAATATTACAGGTAATATTAGTCCCGTCCATCCATCGATACCGTTACGGAGTACTCCGTACTGGGGCTGCAATGCTATCAGCAGCTACTAGCGAGTGGCAAGTTGCGGTAGTCATTACTGTAATCTGTACTCCGTACAGGTTACGGATTAGTAATATTATCATCACTACCTCAGAGTACGACGGCCCAGAAGGTCGGGCAGAGCATCTTTCCGAGACATTGAACGATTTGATGGAGACGATTCCCAAAGCTTGACGACGACCTCTGGGCGCGGGGAGCCAGATTCCAGATCTATTCCACCAGTCGGTTTTCCCTACGAGTATTATAGGCTGAGGCCAGCGCTTAGGGCCCGAACGACCTGAGTGATCTCATATTATGATACAGGTACGAGTACGTAGAGAGCTATCAGGAATCGCAACGTGCGCGCCTATTGGGCGCCCTGCGATGACTACCTGGTACCGTAATACATTATAAATTACATCGTACCTGTCTGTATTCGTAGTCATGATGGCTGGATGTTCCTGCCTATTCTATAATACAGCGTGTTCCCTCGGTAGCCTGCATCCACCATCTTTCTCCTCTTGCGTGCATGCCTGAGGTCATAATATCAGGCCACAAATATTACTGCATGTACGGAATACTCGCTCGTAATACTCGTACTACCGATAATATCACCCATATCAGCACGATAACTTACTACGTGTAATACACAGTGCACATGCTCTCTCTAAGTGTTCGTGGGCGAGACCGGTACAGAGCGTGAATCTGGCCATTCTCTTCATCTCCACATGTATACATCTGCTGGGGGGCCTGAAAGCCAGGCGGGGAGAAGACGCTTACTCGCTCAGCAGTAATACGGAGTAGTGAGCGCCACGTCTCTGCTCGGCATTGCTAGGCGACAAGCTCTTCCCAGGGAAGAGAGGCTGGAGTAAGCACGCTGGAGCGAGGCTGATGCCTGGCTGCCACCATCCGCCATCCGCCATCCGCCATCCACTGCAGCCAGAAATATGAGCTCCCCTTTGCCTCTCACTGCTTCTCCCTCGCTGCGTCGACATTCGTCCACCGAGGCCTCCTCATTGACGACCTTGTCTGACCTCCTTCATTTTTTTTCTTCACATGATACCGGGGCACTACTAGCAGAGCACCGCTCACTACAAGTAGCCCAAAGCCACCAGATGCCGACCTCGCCCGTCACCCCGGGACCACAATGGCAATGCTTACAGATGGCGACCCGACGACAGCCACGAAGCCGTGTCCGTTCAGGGAGGTGCCTATGGAGGTGCTGCTGCGCATAGCATTCTGGCTCCCTACGACGGACCTCTGCAACATGCGACGCACATGCCACTCCATAGAGCGCATGCTGTATCGCTCGTTTGCGCACGAGTACTTCCGGTGCAAGCAGTTTATGCTGACGCCCTTCAGCCTGCAAGCGCTGATCGACATCTCCGGGAGCAGGCTGGGGCGGCATCTGACCAGGCTGCAGCTGGGAACGGACCATTTCGAGGACCCGCTCAGCGTCGCGACGATCGACGGGGCTGACCTGACGTACGCCTACGACTGCTATGCGACGCAGTGCGAGATGCTGTTGTCGGGAAGCCATATCGACATGCTGGCCGAGGCTCTCCAGAACCTAGGACACCTCGAAGACGTCGTCATCCGCTGCTTCAACTCTGATCGACGGTCGCGGGATGGGCCGGGGGCCGACTGGGTCAGTTACGGTGCCCGGCAGGCCAGGAGGGAAGCCCGCAACTTCTTCATGGCCGAGCCGTGGCACGCCAGGCCCAAGCCGGCTTTCACCATGACGAGCATCATCTTCAACGCGGTGCTGACAGCCCTGAGCAGGACCGGCACACGGCCCAGGGGCATCGAGGTCCTGGCCAGGCAGCCGTCGCCGATGTCGGCCTACCTCTACGACGTAGCCTTCGCCGTCAGCCCCGCCATGCGACCGTCCGTCTCGTCGGTGCTGGAGGGACTGAAGAAGCTGCACCTCTACGTCGGCAACGCCGTCGACCCTTTCAACAGGCAGGGCGACACCGGCAAGCTGCCATGGTTCCTCCATCGCACCGTCAACCTGGAAGATCTGCGCATCAACGGCGGACGAGAGAAGATCCAGGGCTTAGATCGTCTTCTCCGTTGGCTAGCAACACCCGCGTCATCTTCACCGTCGCCGTCGCCGCCGTCGTCCTCGACGTCTCAACCTCGGCCCGGTCCCTGGGGACCCCTGCCGCTCAGCTGGCCTCCGGCTCCGGCTCTGTCCCAGCTGACGGATCTCAGCCTCGGCTACATGGCGGTGGAGAGCGAGGTCGTCATCGGAATGGTGCAGAAGCTCTCGCCCACCATCCGACGGCTGGACTTTGTCTTCCTGTGCGTCATCGAGGTAGCGGACGACGCGGCCGACGAGGTTCCCACAGGCACCGTCTGGAAGAATATCCTCTCCGTCATCTGCGATGCGCCGGCCCCCCACCTCTCCCACGTCGGGCTGAAGTTCCTGCGCGAGTTCCATGGTGAGCCGCCCAAGGACCCCCCTGATGGCGTGTACAGACAGGGGGAAGACGTAGTCTTCAAGGACGGCAAGACTGAGATGTCCTACACCGGACTCGACTGCAGGCAGGTCCTACTCCAGACGATTGGCCAAGTTGGGGGCGCGGCTGGCGATGACGACGGCGGCAGTGACAGCTTTGACAGTCTTGACGACGACAGCGGTGATAGTCATGAGGAGGATGGCAGTGATGGGGAAGAAGATGAGGAGAGTGGGGGGCAAGACGACGACGCCTCAGACGCGTGATATTGGCCGGTGGCGCCGGGCAGGTGAGTGGTATGCGTACATGTAACACGTATTACTTGGCTATGTTCGCAAAGTCTGGTATAGAAGAATCAGTGATTCGTAAGATGGTTGAATGAAGAAGAATTTGCATTGACGACCAATGGATTGTAATCTGTCATCATCCCATGTAAGTTGTGGAACATTTCATGCGAAATATTTGGGCCTGGATCGACGATACAGGATGGAACTGCAGAAGATCAAATTAATCCATTTCAATCCATCTAATACGGAGTGCAAGTACGGGCGGAGTTGACGGCACGCTTCTGCATTAAAAAACGGCACTTGCTCATAGTGAAAGAGAAAGAAAAAAAACATCAAAAGTCAAAAATCAAAAATCCGTAATATCATTATATTACGCCCTCTCCGTATCCCTTCGTATTATTCTTACCTGTGCATGTATCGTGATACCTGTAGTAATACCTGTATCGTACAGAGTGAGAACAGGCCGTTGTAATGCTACTACTCGTACAAGACTAGCATCACTTCGTATATGTGTACATGTAATCTGTACTCCCCATACAGACCCCCCTGGTCCAAATTCCGATAAGGATCAGGGGAGGACAAGATGGGAAAGGTGGATGGATTGGTGCTGCGTGTACGTGCTCGATAGTACAGAGCAAGTCATGTCAGTATTTCCCGTAACCAAAGTCATGGCGCTTGTTACTCTGTATTTCCACCCATTACTCCGGTCCCGGTTGCCTCGTCTTATTCTTTTACTTCTTTTACTTCTTTTACTTCTTTTACTTTGAACCCTCTTTTTTTGACATTTCCTCGATCCGGTTATAACAAAGATGAAGAAGAAGAAGAAGGGAGTTGAGGAAAATCATCTGGTCTGATGGGTCAATCATCTCTCGTACATGTACACGTACACTCGTATACACACAAATTTAATGTTACTCCGTAATTATTACGGATTATTACAGCAACTTACGAGTACGACTACCAATATCGGTCATCTCACCGAGACCCAAATTATACGGGACGCATGATGAAGAGGACGCGACGGTACTATTCGGCAGAGATGAATGAGATGATACAGAAGCTTATTAGACGGGGTTGATAGCCGACGCTATAATCTGTACTTGTACGTGCAGTGAGCCCTGGCAAAAGAAATAAGGGGGTCTGATAATACAAGGAGCCGACCGAGATCAGACAGGTTGGCGTCTGTAAGCAATCGTGTCTGTGTATGATTACATGATACGGTGCGAGTAACTCACACGATGATCCTAGGCCGTTGCCCGTATTGGTAACATTGCAATAATACTCGTGGTTGTCATCAAGAGAGTTGGCCCGGGGCCTGGCACGACATGGCCTTGTGTTTCTTCGCACAATAGCACGCGGCATTCTTTGTACATCTTCCACCACGCCATGATTGTTCAAGACGGTCCAAGGCGGTCACGACAGAGCAGAGACAGCCACGGTCCTTGCATGTGTACAGACACGACGGGCATGTGCGACGTGGCTTTCGCGCGGAACCGGTGCCGATTACTCCGTACTCCGCCAGTCCACAGGCGACAGGGGAAATGAAGGGATCGTCATGGGCCACGGCCCACGACCTAGGCACACCGTCCCCCCCTGTCCCCTGCCATAACCCGATCAGTCACGGTGATTGCTACTGTGAATCGTGGTAGCAGTTGGCGATGGTGCGTGTGCTGTACTCCGTACATATACAGGTATGCATGACCTGTACGAGTACCGAGTGCGTACGGCTGCCGTCTCGTACGCTCAGCGGCCACGTCGGACAAACGACGGGACGGTCACAAACTCAGGAGGCATAGGACGTCCATCTCTGGCTTGGGTTGGGGGCGGTCAGTGTTACTCAGTCTCTCCTGCCACAGAGTCCTGAGAAAGTAAGAGATTTCTCTCCAAGCCCGTGAACGAGCCAAGAAGCAGCCAAGACTCGCAGTAGTGGAACGTGAACAGATGGTGGCTGATTTTGCATTGGTGCACACGAGTAACACGCGGTCGGCACGTACTCATATCGATAGATGCTGTCTCAGGCACTTTGTTGTGTATTAGTATTACGGGGGGAAAAAAAGAAGAAGAAAAGCCATGGTGTTTTGTCTGCCTCGCGCTATACTGGGGGCACCTTGGTGAAGCGATCGAACTCACTTGAGTAGTAATAGTGAATTAATACTCACCTCCTGCCCTTTGCCTTCGTACTCGTACACGTTGCCCCAGAGGCCACGACAGAGGTGCATGAAATGCCGAGAACAAAAAGGACCCTCGCCCCCCCCAAAAAAAAAAAAAAAAAAACCGATAGACAGCCACAAGATGGGCCTATTGACAAGGATGTGTTTTTTTTCGCGCCGGCCTTGTTTGCTGGCGGTTGGCCAGTTGAGCGCTGACGAGTAAAACGAGAAAACGGTAGGGATCGCAATCTTACTCGTGGTACACAACGAGTACTTTGGCAAGAATGGTGCTTCTCATATTGGAGGAGACAGAGGGATCGAGGTGATGGAGGAAATTTGAAATGAGGCACAAATTGCGCCAAAACTTGAACCCCGGAGACTGTGCGTATGTTGAATGCGATACACTGTAAGCACGGGCCCTGCGCTAGCTTAGCTGTCGGGCAGCTCCAGCTCCAGCTCCATAGATAGAGGCCGGGACCTAGCGCCAGGGGCCGTCGACAAGCCGTACAGCGCTAAATGCATTGGCAATCACAGCAGGCACCCGACGCTGGGTAGAGGCCCCGGCCCCGAAACCTGCAAGGAACCCGTCGACAGCTGTCCATCCGCTCTTAGTGGGCATCAACCGCCACCCACCGCCACCAGCAGCAACCAGAACCAGGCGGCCCTAGGAGTACCAGGACCCATAAATTAGACAGTCCAGCGCATACTGTGCGTGCCTGTGCCTGTGCCTGGGCCGCGCCACTTTGGGCTTGTATCTCCGTCGTACCTGCCCGCCTGCTGCCCCCCATTAATCTCTCGCGTCTCTTCCCCCTCTCCCCGTTTTTCTAGTCCCCTCCTCTCTCCTCTCCTCTTCTTCTTTTCTTCTTTCTTTCCTTTTCTTTTTTTCCTTTTCTACCCCATCACGTCCCTCTCTTTTCGCATCGACGTCCATTCCTTTGGTTTCTTACCAACTCACACTCTTTTCGCACTCGTGCACCTTACGGTCTTTACTCGTTCTTACCAACGCTCATCTTTTATTCTTTTCACAACATCAGTTCTGTGAACTAGATATTATATAACCACTCCGTCGCGAAAACAAAAACAAAGCAACAACCAAAACCATCATTCACACCATGCGTTTCACCACTGGTCTCGTTGCCCTCGCGGCTGCCTTCTCTGGCGTCAACGCCGACACCACCACCCTCACCTCGACCTTGACCAAGACCATGACCCTCACCCAGTGCGGTCCCGAGGTCACCAACTGCCCTGCTCGCTCGTCCACCACCCCGATTCCCAGCACCAGCACCAGCACCAGCACCACGCCCACCCCGACTCCCAGCACCAGCACCACGCCTACCTACACTCCTACCCCTACCCCCGAGACGCCCACCGTCATCACCACCTCGATCACCCCCTCATCCAACTCGACCACCTCGCACTCCAAGACTCTGCCTCCCGCCGTCTCCACCAAGTGGCCCGTCGCTCAGAACACCACTGTCAAGGCTGGCCCCACCGCCGCCTTCTTCACCAGCAGCTACATCCTGCCCTCGACCACGGCCGGTGTCCCTGCTGAGGAGCAGCCCACCGCTCCTGCCTCTCAGGTCCCCACTGCCGCTGCCGGTTCTGTCTTCGCCAACACCGGTGCCGTCGCCCTCGCCGTCGCCGCCGCCATCGCCGCCGTCTACTAGATGTCTCCTGTCAACTAGAGCAAGAAGTCGCGTGTGGTTTGACCCGACAGACTTGCGAGCCCCGGTGGTTCATCTACAAGTGCTTCACCTCGCTGAGCTTGGAGTCGTGCGTTGTCTTTCACTTCTAAAGCTTGGTTCCCCTTTTCTCGGCGCAAATACTTGATTTGAACGAAAATAAATACCCTTTATCTTCGACTATGGATTAGACACCAGCTGTTTGGAGATGGGACGTGGCGGTATTACCCGCTCGCTTCTCACCCCATAATATTCTTTAATTCTTCTGGGGATGGACGTTTGGAGATGATTTTACGATTCATGTATTCTTCAATTAGGGAGGCCAGAACCACATGTCCTACTTGATTGGCAATACACTTTTTTTTCCTTTTTCTTCTGGGCTTCTTAGTTTCATATGTTTGGGAACTGAATATACTTTTCTTTCTGTGCTCCTCTTTTGCCTGACGTGATGTCTTTTGTCTCTGTGTTGACCGCAACAAATTTTCGACAACTAATGCGTGCAAGCTCCACGAAGCTCAGCGCACGCGTTGGCGCTTCCATTCCAGTTCCGTTGTAGGTGTAAGCACGAGTAACATCGTGTCACCGGAGTATTATGGCTGTCACAGGCACCACTGCTATCCGTAGTCCAAAGTCTCCGAAACCCACCTCATTTCGTACGTTATATAATATGGACTACGGACGTCTGAGAAGGAAAAAAGACGTTGAAAGCAAGTACTCGTACATGTACAGACATGAGTGGCGCATGGCTACAGATCTGTACTGCTATCTGTAGAGTGACGTTTGTCACGTGGCGCGCTGACCTGTCAGGTGGTAATATACGGAGTAGAGGGTTTATATACTGCCATGACTGGTCGATCGTTAATCCCTGAGTAATCAGGCCTAAGTTTATGCTCAATGGCGCAGTGGCAAAAGTCTGACATGTTCATGTTGGACTACATCTACTCCGTACGTGTGTTATAATACCGCCACCACTACCACCACTCATACTTTGTAGAGTGATATGCGTTGGGTGATGTGGGGTTGACCGAGGAAGAAGGTACGGTCCGAAGATCGAGCCCCGATCCTGCCTTTTTTTTTTGTGGGTTCCGTAATGATTAGATGCATCTAGTTTGAGAAAGACCTGCCTCATCGCTCCTTCCAGCCAAAAGAGGTGGAAACTTACCCGATGCTAACAATATCTTGACAATCGTGCCCCAAAAGATTCACCCCCCAAAACAGCACATCATCTGCTGTCCCAACACGATTATGTCTCCTTCATCTGTTCTCCCCTTCCAAGGATCAATCTTGATGACAGAGACGGCGATCTGTTTTGTTGTTTCGGCATTGATATTCACAATCTACAAGCACTGACTATTACAATGTCAGCCCTATTTTGCATCTCCCCATCTCCTTTCTTTTTCTAATTCTCTGCCCCCTACCCCCTTTCCCATTCCCACTACCACGGTCCTGTGTCTCACCTTGAAGATTGCTTGACCACGGAGTTCGGCTAGTCCGTGTTCCGACACCAGACTTCTCACTTCGACTACACCTGTCACACATCTACCAGATCCTTCACCAGCTAGGACAAAGAAACGGAAAGACAGACAGACGGACGGACGGACGGACGGACGGAGAGGGACAGAAAGGGACGGAGACGCCAGTCCCATTATACCCCCAACGGCACCTCGGATACTGCAGATTACTGCATTGTCAGTAATCGAATCTAATCCATACACAAACTGTCCTTTATCCGGTCATGCGCGATACTCTATCAAATCCATACGAGTGCAGGAAGCTTTTGTTTCTCTTGATTCTCCTAACAATCCATCTATCTGGGCTGGTATCACCACTCTGTGAATGGCCTACCGCCGCCCGTGGTGACCCGGAACTGGGACCCTGGGGTCACTTTCTCTGGCATGATCGTTGATGGATGAGGCTCCCATACACTTCTTTCTCTTTTTGTTTTCCTTGCCTTACAGACAGTGCATAGGTTAATGAAATGGTAACAGGTAACAGGACAGGGAAGGGCCGTCGTTTTTGAACAACGAATAACGAGACAAAGAGCAAAAGGGGGCGACAAAAAAAAGAGAAGAAAAGGGGGGGGGGCAAGACGACAGAGAGATCATTGATTACACCAAAGCCAGAACAAGCCCGTTCATCCATTGAGACTTGGGTGTCAACCCAATCTGCCTATTTGCGCCTTTCACCTTGTTGCCTTTATAATGATCTGGTGGGCCGATTTTCAACCGAAACGCAAACGCCTAACAATCGAACTTGGCAGAAGGTAGAAGAAGAAGGAGAAGAAGAGGGAGAAGAAGAAGAAGGAGAGGAAAGAGAAGGAGGAGAAGAAGAACAAAAAACGGCGCGAAAAAAAGCAACGAGGCAGAGAAACAAGAATGGGGAGCAGAAAGAAGAAAAACCAAAACAGGGTAACAAAGGCTTCTCGTCTATTCGCATGGCTGTCCGCTAGCAACGGCTGCAGCGCATCGTGGGCAAAGGTACTCCTTCCAGTCGGTTAAAAAGGAGCACCCATGGGTTGTGGCATGGGCGCATGGCTTGTTGGACAGAGTCACCACGGGCATTGCGCGGTGCGGTACTGATGACTGGCTACCACCTTGCGATGGCAGGTGAGGAGGCGTAGACGGTCCAACACTGCGGACATGAGGGCCGCACACTCGTGCAGTCCCGGACTTTGGTTCCGCGACGGTATCATCCAGAAATCTGATTTCACCATGCTGAATCGCGCCAATCTCAGAGCAGGTGGCGAACAATATGTCACTGGAATGCATGATTCCAAAGGACGCAGGATGGCTGGCGGGTGCAAGATGAAGGCTGACGATGACAGAAACTTGAACAGACTGGTATTCCGCCCGCTCCGAAGATTTTGTGCGTGTGTGTATGAGGTATGCACAGGTGCGTTTGAGGGGGGGGGGGGGTATGAGAGGCGCGATGCTTGGCCCCCGGAATCCTTCATTCATACCGAGTAAGTCTGGGAGGAGGAGCCGTTATTTAACCAAAAAAAAAAGCAGATCCTCTATGAGAAGCGGGCCACCTTTGAATCGATTTATCCCTTCGGTGATGATAGTGCTAGGTCTCCTCTGTTCCCCACCATCATACCCCGTGTGTCTCCATCACTCTTGTGTTCTTCTCTCAATCACCTCCATCTGCCGACGTCCGCCTTGGAGGGGTGGGCAGCAGCCAGGAAGGTAGAGAGTGGAGCAAGATGATTTGGAAACTACCATATTGACCAACCCATTCACACAGGCATGTCACTGTCGTAAGTGAGAGAGAGGATGGGAGAGCGAGAGACATTATCAGATACGACGCGCACTCTCGGTCCTCTCAACACTCAGCTGACGGGGCGCCGGGGAGGAAGAAGGGGCGTGTATGTGCGTGTGTAAAGTATTCCGACGGATGCCGCCGGGACAGTGCTAGCCGGGTCTTTGAATCTATTTACGTGCACTGGAGACAGGAAGAGGAGATGACACAGAAACGATCGACCAAGTAAAGGACCTGGACGGCGACCGGAGTTTGCCCCGTCAATCACAGCCCACCCTCTACCACCAAAGATGAGAGCCCACCAAAGGAGAAATGATATTCTCCTACCGGGAATAAAACGCAGAAATTTAGGGTGAGACAGTAGGGTGACGACCGAAGAAGTACAACGTGGTCTAACGAGTAACGTGAAAGGAGAGGAGGGGGGAGGAAAGGGCCTCGCCGGTAAGACCGATCCCGTTACCCAGCCGGGTTTGGTGTGTGATGTACGGTCTTTTTTTTTTTAAAAAAAAAAAAGAAAAGAGAAAAAGGGAAGCATGCTGATCAACACCACCACTAGGAGACGATTCGATCCGAGGGGACGGGTATCATGTCTCATGAGATAGGCTTCTAGAACGACCACGATGAAAGCTGAAAGCCCCATCCTCTCCCATCCGTTTATGGTGTACCATCCTACATCCATCATTCACAGACACACACACACTTCTCACCAAACCCCGCTCCCGGTGCCTAAGAGCATGAAGTCAATAAGTCGGCAAACGGCGCCCGGATCAGTCATCGTCAGATTCCGGAGAAGGGGGGTGGGATGTGTGTCCCTGTGTGTCAATAATCAGACCCCCGCCGCCGCACACTTTAGGCAAATCCTACAGTGACGGGGCGAGACATGCAGGTTGTGTGTGTGTATATATATGTGTGTGTGTGTGTGTGTGAGAGAGAGAGAGAGATAGAGAGATAGAAAGGAACTGGTCACATCGCATCGGACTCGGGCGTGTTGCGATGCTCATCTGGTTCTACAGCGACTGAAACACACGCACGCACACACACGCACGCACACACACACACACACACCACACATACATACACACACGCACACACGCACATACGCACACACGCACACATACGCAGATAGGGAGGTGGTGATTGTCAGTGGTAAGCCATACTGAAGCAAGCCCAGCCAAAGAAAGAGGGAGAAGAAGACAGAGAAGATGATGATGATGAAAAGCAGCTCACTGGAATTAGGTAAAGACGAATAATACATCTGAGAGACTGACAATCACTGATAATCCCCTCTTTTTGGAATGCACCCCCGCTCTTGTGCTGCCCAAAGAGGTAGAGTACGATTTTCACGACGGAGCCACGGTCCAATGCGGATATGATATATGACGAAAAGGAGCCAAGAAGCGACGAGGGCGGCACACACATTTGGAGCATGGCCCTGTACAGTTTCAGAATGGACGACCGGGTTGGCTTACCATGACAATTAAAGAAGTCACACTGGCATCATCACACATATGGGATGATGGCACATACATGTACACATTGCATGTATATATACACATATATACTCGTATACGCTGCGAGTACGTGCACGTGAAACACACGAATGCACATATATTCACATACGAGCGAACACACATACCGACGCACGCACATACGACTGTACACATATGCGAACATACACGCCGGGAAAAAAGAAGAAGAAGAAGAAGAAACATGGACAGCACGCATAGACACAGGCTAGAAAAGACAGAGAGAGAGAACTGACAGCGACGGCGACAGCGACCGAGACGGCGACAATGACGATGACAAAAAGACAGAGACAGAGACAATGGCAGAGACAGGCATAAAAGACCAAGACAGCACGGCTAACAATGCAGTATACTATCGGCGCTATCACCAGGATCATCCGTCACGGTCCAGGGCCAACCAATCACTTCTCCTCCCCGGGTCCAAAATCAAAATCATAGAACCGGGGGTCATGCCTGCACAGTCTACCGGCACGGGTAACGAGTGATGACGGTCGGCGGCATTCGGTACTCGTAATACTAAACACAGCCTGAGTACATGTGCTCAAGTACCTCTTACCTTGCCCCTTCGTCGGCGACCGACGTGTCGAGATGATACCCCAGGCGGCCGTCGCCGGCTCTGCCTCGATCGATCTTGAGATGACAGCTGGGCTTGTGGCGGAAGAGGTTCGGGCCCTGGGGGGCGTCGTGGCAGGTGTCGGTAGGAGTCCAATGGGGAGTCCGACGTGATGGGCTACCGTCGCATCTGTTGCTGTTCTTCTTCTTCTTCTTCTCCAGTCGGACAATGAAACCCAACCTTGCCGGCTGGAGAAGTAGTATGGGATCGATTCAAACTAACATGTCGATGTGTATGTGTATGTGTATGTGTTGTGTGTGTGTGTGTGTGTTTTTCCGTCTCACAGATGTCATTCCCGTCTACCATCCATAACATCTCAAGTGCCGACACACATCTGACCGGCTGAACAACGAGAAGGGGTCGGCACAACTTTGCTGGTGGGGGGGGGGTTTGTCTATCTCACCTACATCTACTCATCTGGTGTATCAATACTTCTGACCTGCAAAACATATACACACGCTTTCGCCATGCCGGCAATTGCCAGGTTGAATCATGGGTGAAGAGATCTTGATCTCGCATCCGCACGCGCGTGACATTAGGAACCCTTTAGGCCTCGGGGTAACCCCTTAAAGGAGACAAGGGTGGAGGGATGTCTAATAATCTACGTGCTTGGCATGCGATCGGTGCATCGTCTCCTGCGCCCTCCCTTTGTGTGTGTGTGTGTGTGTGTGTGTGTGGCCTTGGGGGATATCGGAATCAGATACTATCTGGACGGTGACTCCGTATCTTCACGTAGATGGGATAGGACCTCCTGTGTTTTTTTTTTTTTTCACTCTTTTTTTTCTTTTCTTCTTCTGCTTCTTGTTTTGGCAATCTCTGAAGGAGAAGAGTTGTCGTCGGTCACCTGGAAATTCTCCGCCGTATGATACTTTATATACATTTGGTGTGTACGTGTGTGTTTACGGAGATAGGTTGATGAGATGAGACGATTATGAGAAGGAAGGGAAGATTTTGGTTACATCCTCAAACGCGTGTAGGTGATGGAGATGATACAGCTGCTTTAGCCCCTTCAAAAGAAGGGCCGCGGCAATTGTATTGATCTTACTTTTTCTATCTGAGGACGGATGAGGCCGTAGATATATCGGAGTTGGTGATGTCTGCATAGAGGCCTGAGGCTCAGATCCGGACCGGAATAACCATTATACGGTGCTGGGCGGTGTCTGTACAAACAGAAAAAATTCCAGATTTAATAGAAAAAATGTAAAAAAATAAAATAAAAAAGAAACCACCTTTGCTTTGATATTGACACGTGCCTATTATAGCTTGGATGAATCCGTGTCGTCATCACTGGCGCCGGTATTATTATTACAGTATTATATCTATATTATACTCCGTAACTTATAATCTGTACACAATAATTCCGTACGGGTACTTGATTAGGTAATCTTGCTTAGACGGGAGTAAAGAACGAACATTTACCACCGAACGAAATGTCGCTGCCGGTAATAGCGCGGGAAAAACGTCGGGACGGAACAATTTTTTCCAGCTTGAAAACATACAAGTATGTAATACGGAGTATTACAACCTCGTCATAATGTTTTTTTTTATGGTCAACTAATATCACTGCCGTACATGTATAATTTCATTCATAATCTAGTAGTGATATCACTAAAATATGCAACTTGATGCAAGATCCTACAGGCTAGCCACCGACCTCCTACCAATCGACACATGCCGTTACATCATCCTGTCTATCACTTTTGCCAAGTCTGACCGTCACCATCCCCTCCGAGCATGACGGCCTCGAAGCCTGACCTGATCAAACCCACGACCGCACCCGCAACCGGCACCGGACTGCAGACATGTTATTCTTCCCCCTCCCCCTCCCGCGTCGACGCGTCTCTGTGCGCCTACCCGCGACCGCCCTGACCGGTCATCATCTGTCCCGGTGGCAGAGCACGACCGGCCGCGCATCCACGTCCAATACACCCAAGGTGATACCGGACCGCATGACTGTCCTCCCTTCACGCCAACTGTCCGCCCTACTGGACGACATCGTCCCGTCCACCGCGACCGTCGACGCCGTCGGCAGCAGGCCCGTCCTGCCCCCGGGCGCACACCTCGTCTACTTTCCCCCTCTGGTGGGCGCATCGCGTCTGGCCCCCGACGGGGCGGAGGCAGACCACGTGCCACCCGGATTCCCGATAGACACTCTACGGGAGGAAGAACAGGGTAAGGCTCCGCCGTCGTTGCCGGGTCGCAGACTCTGGGCCGGAGGGGACGTCGTCTTCCACCCCGGCTGGACGGATCGTCTCCTCCTCGACGGACGCGCCTGGACGTGCACCGAGACGATCGGGCGTGTTGACGAGGGCGGCGACAAGAGCGTGGTCGACATCGTCCGACGCTATGGCCGGCCTGGGGACGGGGTACCCGACATCTCCGAGACCAGGACGCTGGTCTTTGTGCGCGGTGGCAGCAGCACGCCATCATCTCGTGTTGTAAAGTGTACGTCTTTTTTTTCTTCTTCATTTCCTTTTCTCTTTTCTCTTCTTCTTTTCCCCCTTCTATAATTTCTTATAACTCAAACATCCCCGCGTCAAATCATCTCTACCTTCCTGAAAGAAAAAAAAGAGAACAAGGAGAAGAAGAAGGAAGACCTTGTTCGTCTAGTCTGACTGCGACAGTCCCCCGCCAACCGACGGCTTCACACCCATTTTCCGTATCTCACACACACCTCTTCCACTTCTCGGCCCTCACTTACAACGCCCACTTCATCCACCTCGACCGCAGTCCCGCCGCCCTGGTCCACGGCCCGCTCCTGTTGGCCATGATGCTACGCGCGCTCGGCCGTTCCGACGCACACTCCGAGACGACTGTACAGTCCATTTCGTATCGCAACCTTGCCCCCCTGCACGTCGATCAACCGGGTAGGCTATGCGTGCGTGGCCCCGAGCCCGACGCCGGCAACGTGTGGGATATCTGGGTCGAGGGACCCGGAGGCGGCATGGTGGCGAGGGGGAGGGCACACATGGACAGTCCCCCGTGAGAAAAACTACATGAGTGCGAGACTGACTTGTAACCTCCCTTTTTTTATTGTTTTTGTATTCGTATGACTTGGTCAAAACATATACCCTACACCCTTTTAGCTATGCATCTAGTATACAGCGGGACATGGAACGACAAGAGAGAAGAGTAGACGGGATTCTTCTCCTTCTTGTTCTTCTTTCTAAGGGAGAAAGAAAATTGGTAGATTGGTAGAAAGCAAGTGTTAGACATGGAGAGGGAAGAAGGAAGAAGAAAATACTAGTCGGCAAAGCCAAAGACTTCGGCGACAGAAAGGGTGTTGCTCCTGACACCGACCAGAGCGATACCTACGCCCAGAACGTCGACGACGAGCAGCAGGGCTGCGGCCATCATGAAGCGCGGGCTGAAGACGCGGTACAGCATGAGGTGTCTGCGGAGGTGGCCGGACCAGGCCATGGTGGCGGTGGCCTCGACGGCGTAGTAGGCGACGAAGAGGGCGAGGGAGCGCGAGGCGGCCTCGAGCACGCCCTTCTGCTTGGGGCCGACCTTCCAGGCTGCCGAGACGAGGGGCACGGCAGCGGCGGCCAGGATCTGCGGGCCAAAGGTGTTGAGCACGACGGCCAGCGGGCTCCACGGGTACTGGACCGTGCGGAGGGCCACGAAGGCGCTGTCCCACTGGATGCTGGCCAGGGTGGCCTGGTGGCCGGTGCGGAAGTAGTAGAAGTTGCCGAGCATGGCGAGCACCACGGGGCCCACGGCCTCACCCTTGAGGCCGAGCAGGTCGACCATCTCGGCCAGGGAGAGGACCTGCCACAGCATCAGGGCCAGTGACCCCGTCCCCACCGGCTTGGTGAGCACGGCCAGGGCCGCCACCACGTTGAGCACCAGCATCAGGTACCGCGCGCCATGGGCGTTGCCGTAGCCCAGGATCGTGACGCGGGCTGGGGCCGGGGACGCGCCCTTCCCCTGGCCCCGACCCTGGCCCTGACCGGCATCGGCGACCGTCGACACTACGCCCACGCTGGGTGGGGCCCAGATGAAGCCCGTGGCGCCGGCCACGACAGACAGCGCCAGCCCCGTCTGCGCAACGTACATGCCCACCGGCTTGACCAGCGGGGTGATGACCGGCCAGCGGGAGAGCCAGCCGCCGTTGTCGGCTGCGTCGACGACCCAGTGCAGCGAGGCGAGCGCCAGGCCGGCCCGGAAGACGTACCGCACCCAGACTGGCGAGAGGCCTTCCCACGAGCGCGTGGGCTCGAGGAACGAGCGCACCACGGCGGGGAGCACGGCCGCCACGACCAGCGGGATACCCAGCTGCCAGGCCGACGACGTCGACGACGTCGCAGACGCGTAGTACGTAGACGTGCAGTAGGGCATCTGCTCCTCACGGCAGAGCCTGGACAGCGACGCCACGCGCGAGAGCACCATGAAGGCCAGGGAGTGGTAGGCGGCCAGGGTGCGGTCGACGCGCGACTCGATGCGCATGGCGGCCACGACGCCGGCCACGCCAAACGTCGTGATGAAGAAGAGCAGGATCGAGTCCTCCCAGACCGTGTACGAGTTGGACGCGAACCCGGCCGACTGGCTGACGGTGAAGACGACGGCCATCCAGCCCCAGTGCGTCGTGGGCAGCGTGTTGAGCAGCGTCTTGCCGGCCCGGTGCAGCGTCGCCGCCATGTGCGTCGTCGACACCGCCACCACGACCAGGAGCGTCAGCGTCAGCGCCGACGCGGCCGCCTCGGCCACCGAGCCCCTGCGCACGTACGCCACCGCCGACGCGAGCACCACGACCGACAGGACGCGCAGGTCCCACACCCCGCGCAGGAGCTCCTTGTGGTCGACAAGCTCGGACACGTCGTCGGCCGCTGTAGATTGGCCGGCCTCGCCTTCTTTGTCGCCGTCGCTGCTGCTGGCTTTGAGACCCATCAGCTCCAGCTGCTTCTCTGCGTGCTCGAGCTCCTCGTCGTTGTTGACGATGTAGTCCTCGTCTGGATCCTTGGAGGCGTACATGACCATGACTACGAGGCCGACGACGGCGAGGGCCACGCCGGCCACCATACGTGGCACGTCGAAGCGCGCCCACAGGTCCTTGCACACGGCGAGGGTGCCCCGCTGGAAGGCGATGAAGGCGTCGTACGAGTCGCGGTCCGAGGCCATCCTGCTGGCCGACGTCTCCTGGGCCGTGGACCACAGCTCGGCGGGCGAGCCGGCGCCAGAGCTGGGCGAGATTCCGCGGGCTTTGAAGTACGAGGCCTGGTACCGCTCCACGCCGGCGGCGGCCATACGCGACACGGCGTGCAGGTTGGCCCAGTCGTTGCCACGGGGGCCGATGAAGGCCTCCTCGATGGGGCGGCCCAGGTTGTTGTACGGGATGGGGATTCCTAAGAGGAGGGCGAGGGTGGGAACGAGGTCGATCTGGTTGACGCGGTGGTCCTTTGCCGTGGCGGGCGGGACGGCCAGCTCGGGGCTAGTGCGGCCGAAGACCGGGCGCTTTGAGTACATCCACAGCGCAGCCTCGACCTCGTCGTCGCTCTCGCCGCCGTGGTCGCCCTTGCTATCCATGCCGTGGTCGCCCATGACGACGAGAAGCGTGTCGTCGCCTATGGAGGCGGCCAGACGGCGCACCACGTCGTCCATCTGGGCGAGCTTGGCCGTCATGGCGGCGTGGTCGGGCCCATAGCGGTGACCCGCATGGTCGACGCCCAGACAGTGGCCGATGAGCACGTCCCACTTGTTGCTGTCGCCGCCGGTCGTCTTGGAGGAAGAGGCCTCGACGAGGGGGAGCATGTTGTCGATGACGCCGTTGTCGACCGTGTGCAGGTCCCACACGTTGAAGCTGTCAAAGGGCTTGCTGATGTTGGGCTCGAAGTAGTCCGGGAACAGGGCCCACCAGGTGTCGTCACCGACGTGGGCAATCTTCTTGCCGGCATCGCGCATCTGCACGAGCAGGTTGTCCTCGTCGATGGCGGTGCCGGCAAAGTTGCTCCCGGCGTCGATGAAGGTGGGCAGCGTTCCCGTCGTGAGGCCCTTGAGGCGCTGCAGCGTCGTGGTCGGCGGGTCCGCGATGAAGGGGCGTAGGAAGGCGTTGCGGGGCGACTGGACCGACGACTCGTACAGGAAGGGCATGGCGTTGTGGTATGCGGCGGCGGGGGCGGCGGGGGCGGCAGGGGCGGCGGCGCTCTTCCCTTCGCCATGGGGCACGGTGAAGTCGTAGCGGAGGGCATCGATGACGAGGACGACGGCCCTGTCGAATTTCTTGGGATGCCAGCAGCCGCGGGCGACGTCGAGGGGCGCCGTCGACGCCTCGACGGGCGGCACGTCGCACGTCGACCTCTCGTCCAGCACCAGGCGCGTCAGTAGGAAGCCGCTGGTGAAGAGGTATATGGCCAGTGCATGCATGGCCAGCACCCATCCCCAAAAGCCGAGGGTCCACCGCCAGCGACGCTCGTACGACTTGCGCCGAGCCCCGTCGATGCGTGCCTGCTGCTGCTCAATCACGTCCATCTTGTGGCTCTCGGCTGCGAGGGCCATCTGTCTCTCCACGTCGGCCGCCTCCTTTGCCTCGGCCGCCTCCTTTGCCTCGGCCGCCTCCTTTGCTCGCTTGGCCTTTTCCCATTGTTGCCGGATAGCCCTGTGTTCGGACGATGAAGTGTTGCGTGCACCGCCGCCGCCGCCGCCGCCGCCGCCGCCGCCCGCTGGTGATGATGGCGATGGTGATGAGGGTGCTCCCTTGGCCTTGTTGGCCTTGGGGGTTCGCTGGACCATTGTGACTTCGTCTACCGGGACGCCGCCAATCCCCTGTCCATTCGCAGAGGGGAGCGTCGAGGTCTTGGAGATGGCCGCACACGGGTTTTTTTCGGTATCGTCGAAGTATATTATGTAGATGGACAGAAGCTGAGTTGTCTCTTTTCCATCCTCTTATTTTCTTTCTCCTGCAGGGGCCTGGGTTTTGACAGATTCCTATTGTGGAGACCTTGGAAGGGCAAATAAAACCCGATTATTACAGACGGGTAAGGAAAAATCCATACAACGTCATCATCATTCCAGGAGCTGTCATTGCTTATAACCAATCTTCGTATTTCCGTGTGCATAACCATCATCTTCTTTTCCCCCTTCCTTTCTTTCTGTAAATATCTCCATGGGTACAATCTAATCCAGCTTTCTCTCTTCCAACTTCCCTGTCTAGCTGGCACTGCCATAGCCTAATCAACCAATGGCAATATGTGATGGCGCCCCTTTTGCCCTCATCTATCCGGAAGCTCGGAATTGCACACAACGACACACACGTCTCTCACATATCCTGCTATCCAAAGCTGCTGAGAGGACAAATCCAGTTCAACTCTGCCTTGTCAGATTCTGCCAGGAAGGAGCCGATCTCGTGATCCAACCCGTCAAAAGCCTTCGGTATATAGAGCAGACGGTCACTGTTGAACTTCTACTGGGTAGTAGAGTGAGACGTGCATCTTGGTATGATACTCGGATACGACAAATGAAATTTCAATCTCAGTCTTTCCTCCCCCCCCCCCCTTATTTTACTTCGTCATGAGTGAGAGACAATAGCACTACTACTACTGTATATATGAAAAAAAAAAAGGGGCGTTATGAAAACAAAAACAAAACAAAAATAAAAAGTGTCCATCCTGGTCAGATGAGGGCAACACAGCAAAACCAAGCTCTTGGCTAAACGAGGGTATCAAAGCATCCCCCGGAAACAGAATACGAAAAACAAAGGGCAGCTACCTCCTCTCCCTGTCTCGCTCTTCGTTCCCACATAGTTGACCTAATCGTCAAACTCATCCTCCCACTTCCCATCCCCATCATCACCTTGCACCTCGACAGTGGTAGCCAGGGCCTCCTGCCCCTGCCGGATCATGTCCTGAATCGTCTTGCTAAACGCATTCATGCGCACGTCGGCATTCTGGGCCTCTCTCCTCCTCCTGGCTGCCAGCTTCCTCACCTCTTCATCCAGACGCGGACTGCTCTTGGCCTCACCGCCTCCAACCTCCTTGCCGACACGGCCCAAGGCAGAAGCAGAGAGAGAAGCAGGAGTAGGAGCCGTCGAGTTGCTGCGCCGGCGACCCCCGCCGCTGCCGCCCAGGGAAGCTCTGTGGTGGTGCTGGCGGCGTGGCGTGTGTGGTAGCGGCGGTGGAGCGTGGCTGGTCTTGATGATGGGGGATGCGGACCGCGCAGAGGCGAACGATGCCGAAGAGGCCGGCGTCGAGGCCGGCGTCGTAGCCAGAGATAGCCTGCCCGTCCCGGGACGACGGATGTGCATGGCCGCCCCACCTCCCGGTGTGCTGAGGCGGCGACCGGTGGTGACGGACGGGCCGTGGTTCCTGTTCCGCGTCGGTGGGCGGGGCGGTTCGGGCGTTCCGGAGCGACTGATTGCCGTCGTGTCGTGCACCATGACCCAGTTGCGGCCGAGCTCATCGGCCGTCGTCTGCCGCCTCTTGGGTGCTGGTGCCGGCGTCGATTCCCTGCTGCTGCTGTACATCTCGTCTTCGCGGTGGTGGAATCGTTCCGACCAGTCCGGGAAGCGACCGGGGATCGACGTGCGGCTTTGGTGATGGCAGTTGCCGTCCAGCTGCTGAGGCTGTGTCGACATGCTCTCCACGCTAGGCTGGATGTCGTACCCGCGTCCGCCACCGGTGGCATGGAACCCGGTGAAGGAGCCGGCCCTGCAGAACTGCCAGATACGCCCCACCATTCCTCCCAGGGCTGTGGCAGCCAGAGATCTCCACCCTTGACCAAAAGAAGATGATAATGAAGGGTAGATACTGTTGCTGCTGCTGCTGCTGCTGTTGTTGTTGTTGTTGCTGCTGCTGTTGTTGCTGTTGTCGTTGTTGTTGTTGTTGTTGATGATGGTATTCTCCCCTGGGTCGCGCAGCCGCCTGGTGGCGCCTAGTTTGCGGCGGAAATCTGTCTCGGAGTACACGCTCTCGCCCATGGTGTCCGACCCGGGCCCTCCGTCCGCCGCGGAGGTATCCAGCTGGCCGGCCAGGACGTAGGGCCTAGCGTACGGGGGGGTGGTGCTCGCATACTCGGCGGTGGACTGGCGACGTTTTCGCTTGAAGGATCCGTGGTCGTACGATGGCTGGGCGGGGAGATGACTTGACGGTGATGGCGGCCTCGAGGGGGAGTCTGGTCGGCGGCTGTTGAAGAAGGAGACGCTGTCGGCGTGAAAGGCGCCTGGCATGTGGAACTCGGAACTTAGGGCCATCCCGCGGGAGGGTTGGGCGTCTGTGTGGAATGTGTAGGATGTGTTTGACGCTGCTACGGGCGCGGCTTTCCGGTTCCCCCAATATTCGGTCACGTGCATTGGTTTAGGATGTGATGCCGCACCTTTCTTTCACTTGCGAACATGCCTAATGGCTGGTTTCGCGATACACGTCCTGACTCCTGCATCCTGGCTTACTAATCGTAACTATATGGCATGCATGGCATTTTTTAATACGTGGCACACCACTCACCTAATACCCCTCAGAGGTCAATATTGGAGCCTGATTCACTCGAATGTACCTCGTGTCTGTCTCTAGCTCTCAAGATTTTTTTATTCTTTCTGGAATGGTGGTGAGCATGGGAAAGGTATGATGGGAATAGAAGCAGGGAGCGAAAGTTTACGACTCTGCCACGGACGCAGCTTTCTGATTCCTCCAGATTGTCAGATTGCCGAGCTTTACCCAGTACCTGACCTGTCACCAGAATAAGGCAACAAATCTACCGAATGATGGCAGATGTGTATGAGTGCAATGGAGGACTATGATGACTATGCCCTGTTTCTCGCAATTGATAACGATCGTTCTTCTTCTCCTTCTTCGACCAACCCCGCAGTCTTTGCCCTTTGTCGTGTTTTTCCCTTTTGCACACGTCTCGCAGTCTGGGGACAGAGACACCTTTCCCGTCTGGCATCAACTTCCATCCTCCAAGCACTCTTTCTTTCTCTTGTGAACATATCTATCTCTCGTACCTTTCTCCTGGAAGAGATAGAAAGGATGCGACTGCTTCTGGTGGCGTGGGAGGCGTGTGGCCTTGATTCGTTTTGCAGACAAACGCACAGACGAGCTGCGTCAATAGGAGGCCCCTGCCAAGCCCCTTCTACCAGGAACCGTTGCTCGGGGAATGAGTCTGTACTCCGTACCGACGGTGGGGTCTAGGTAAACAAAGACCAACCGGGACTCTACCCCTCACCTCCCTACCAAAACAGAGACAAGTCAAACATACACGAGAGAATACAGGCAAAAAAAGAAAGAGGATGGAAAGGCAGGCAGGCAAGAGGAGACATCAGGCATCCCTAGCATAGTACTCATCCTGTCCCTTGCTCAGCTTGGCATCGACACCCCCCTCAACCCCCTTCTCTCCGTGGACATGCTTCTTGTCGCCCCAGAAGGCCTCCCTCTCGGCGATGACCTTGACGGCCCAGTCCCTCATCTCGGGCAGCACCACCTTTTGCGAGACGTAGGCAAACTCGCCGAGGTCGAGGCGGCCCTCCCCGCGCCTCTCGTACTCGACCATCTGCAGCAGCAACTCGAGCTTATCCACGTCGTGGACGAAGTGGCTGTCCAGGGTCTGGGAGTCTTCGTACTCCTGCCAGATGGCACGCATCTCAGATCCCGACTCGGGCCCGCCGGGAACGCCGCGCAGCATATCGCCCGTCAGGAAGTCCATCGTCGTGGCCTCGCGACGGCTCTTCTCCGGCTTGGGGACGCCGTCGACCGGGGTGATGTCACCCACTAGAAGCTCAGCCATGTCGTGGATCAGGCACATCCTCATGCACTTGGCCAGGTCGAGGCGGGGGCGGAGAGAGGGCGGGGCGAACATGGAGATGAGGGACATGCGGTACATGTGGTCGGCAATGGATTCACCTCTGCCGGGGGGGGGGAGGGGGTCAGTCTTCTGTAGCGTCCGATGCAGAGGCGTGGAGAGAAGGGAGGCATACCGGTTAATGTCGAATCGTCGCCATCCTTCGCGCTTGGTCGTCTTGAGACGCTCGAGCATGTGGAAGAACGGCAGGGGCGTCGAGGATCCCTCGGCCGTAGGGGGAGTTTGCCCCATCCTCTCGAGAACCTTCTCCACTGTCCACTCCCCTTCCACCTTGATTGTCGGTGTGTAGCCTAATCTTGTCGACAGGTCGTTGTTGACGTTGTCGTCGTCGGCGGCGACCGAGTTGGTTGCCCCGCCATTGGGTATGATCGAGCCCATGGTGGGGGGTGGGGGAGGGGAGGAGCGTGGAAGGGGACAGTCGTCGTTGGACAGTGACGGAGAAGAGGGTTCGTCAGGGGGACTTCCTTCTTCAGTCTTGAGAAGGACACACGTAGAGGGGGGAGGAGAGAAGGAGAAGAGGCTGCTGGTGTTGGTTGTCAAGGAAGAGGAACAGATAATTTTTTTTTGTATGGAGGGAGGGGCAACGGCCGGCCCTATGGATTGTTTTGGCCCTACCAGTTGAGTATTTATTGATAACAGGTCAAGCAGAGGTGAATACCGATAGTGCAGCCGTGTTCAAAGTACGAACAGGAGGGACATAGAACGCAATCAACATCCCCTTCACGCTTTCTCATCTAAGAGGGAGGGCGGCGGGTGTGACGTGTGGAAGAAGTTAAGATCGGTGTTATCCCAACGTAAGTGTGTGTGACGCTGTCCAGGGGCCTGTGTTTATACGCTAGAAGCTGTGGCGGGCTGGCCTGACTGGTTTGTTCCAATAGCCTTGATGGATTTTTTTGGGTGGTATCACGAGAGAGAAAGGACAAGAAGGAAGATGTTTTCCTTCTTTCCTAGGTTCAAAGTGATCAAAAGTAGCAAACAACAACGGTTTTCTTTCGGTGACTTGATGTGTGATGTTGTTGATGATGATTTCTATAAGAAAATTACACGAGTGGTGACTAAGGAGGGCATTTGCTAGGTTGACCCATCCGGAAGATCTGTCCGTTGTCCGTCACCACTGTTTGATCCAACAAACACCACCCTTGTTTCCTCACTGACCTTTCTTCCTTTGCTCTCCCTCACATTACTTTCGCCACTGAGCAAGCAATTACATACTCGCAGAAGCGTCAATGTGGAACCGACACAAAGAGATATCGACATCGTCTTGCGAGGTCCTCTGAACGAGACGCTTGATCTTGTTCGAGCCAAACTACGCAACTTCGATCGAGCTGACGCGGTACGGCAGGAAGACGTTGCTGGCATCTCAAGTGCTTCATTGGGCTCTCGCGCTGCATTCAGCCTCAGCTCCCCCGATGGCAGCCGTAGTGTGGCGTCCGGATTGTTCTTCGTGTTACGGCACCTCCGGGTTGGCTCGGCAGAACTCGACGGATTCGACCTCTTATCTGCCGCGATCTAGAGTCCTTCTCCTACGTTTTGCTCCAGATGTGCGCCGCTGATTTCAGAATGACGAGTGCGCTAGTGATGAAGAAAAGATGCCTAGGGAGAGTCTACTGCGGAAGTGGAATGTTGGAAGCTCTGAAGAAGCTGCCAGAATCAAGGCAGGGGACGTGAACGTGACCGAACTCGAGGGGATCGTCGGCGGATTCCCTGAGGCATCCGATATGGTAAAGCCTCCATGTCTGAGGGGCAGGACAACACTGTCTGGGCACATGGCGAGGCTAGCTATCGGAACCCCGTCGGGAGACCCTGGCCAGCCCTACAGTCCGATCAGAGAAGCCTACAATGATGCGATCAGCAGATTGTAGGACAAGATATAGTCGAGAGGAGCCCCACACCATATGCACATAGCGCTTTCGCCCGCAGCCGGTAGACATTTTCACGCATGACTGAACAGAGCAGGTGCGTTGTCGTTCGGTCTTACACTCGACGGGACTACATCTTGTACATGGATTCCAAGGTAGCAAGCCAACAGCAGCTTCACCCAGCGCTACAACCTTGATGCATATTACGACGAAGACAAGACGGCTTGGTGGGGGCTCATGGCCTCGTCGGCAGGGCGTCAGAAGAGGCGGCGCAGCTGTCGCTGTCTGGCACTGCGGGGCGTCCGATCAATTGACTGCCTGAGTGTCTGGCAGCTGAGCGTAGATCAGTAGTGAACACGGCGGCTCACAAAGGGTTTCCCACCGGCGGCGGTCTATATATATCCCTTTTCATCCGAGTTCGCACAGGCTATGGCGTGGGATGGGGCAGCCAACCTCGTCAGAACATGGGGGGTCAAGTATCACATCAGACCCTTACTGCATGGTTATTCTTGTGCTGTGAGGTTTCTTCACTTTCCCAACACAAGTTCATTATACGTCTCTGGGAGTGGGTAGACTTACTAGCAGTATGCCGCCTCTGACGTCAAGACACACTGCCTTTGCCTCCCATCTTCTTCACATGCCGTATTGTCTGATAGATTGACTCCATCCAGGGCCAATGGGCCTCTGATACGGCCAACCTGTTTCATCTGCCAAGCACGACGTGTGCGATGTGATACGAGGGACCCCGAGTCCTGCCCCCCTCATCCTTTGCCATGCCACTAGTACCCAGACTCCCAGAGCTCCTTCTGGTACGCCTCGGTCAGCCTCTCATCGGTCCCATACACTTCCTGCCAGCCGGTGAAGCCATCCTGGAGGACGGAGACGCTCTGCTCCTGGGGCGGCTCCAACCCCAGAGCCTTGAGAGCCCCGTCCCTCTCGCGCAGGTACTTGAGCGCCGCGCTGGGACCCCTCTGCTGGCTGAGGGCGCAGTGGAACACGACCGTCTTCTTGTCCAGCAGGCGTCTGGCCAGCGTGGGCATCATAGCGTCGAACTGTCGGCTAGGGACGTTGATGCTCCCTTTGATGTGGCCGCCAATGTAATCTAGTTTACTTCTGTGTCAGCAAACAGAAATGGTAAGACGAGAATTCAGAAAGGGAATGAAAGAAGGAGAGAGGGAAGATGGAAGGAAGAAGAAAGAAGAGAGAAGAAAGAAGAAAGAAGATGGAAGAAGATACCATCGTCGCGAACATCTATCACTGCTGTCGTGGCAGTCTCCTCTAGGATCTTGATCGACAGCGTCTTGGCCGTCATGCGCTGGAGGTTGGCTATCGAGGTCATGGTGCGTATCGATGTGCTGTGGCTGTTTATCCCAAGGGTTTTCTCATCCGTATATGATGAGTTTGGGACCTCTTAATTCAGGAAACACTCAGAGATGCTTCCTCGGGAAAAATCGCGATTTTGCTCTCTGTCGACGTTGATGAATGGTGGGACCACTGAACGTCGTCTATCAGCAGTGGGTACTCTGCTTTTTTTTTTGGCCTCTACCAAGATGGCGGGGGTCAAGTTACGTGGAGTCATGCTCAGTACAGAAAGGCAACCGTCATCCATAACTCGCGATATTGTGCGGAGTACTGCGACTGGTGGTGGAGAGTCATGCAGTGTAACTGATAATTCATCATACTAACTCCTACAGGTATCATGGCTTACGGAAATTAAATACAGCGCTGAAAGTGTGAAAGACGATAAACCCCAACCTGACCATGCTAGTCTTTGCCCCTTCCCCTCACTCTCCCCCTTCAAAACCTAGGGAGAATATAGATAAATAAAGAACACCAACCCAGAAACTCCCACCAAAGAAAAGAGATGCGAAGAAAAAAAAAGAAAGTGTAAGGAGGACGAGAAGAGCCATGGGAGCTAAAAGAGGTCAGAGAGTGGACAAGGAGATTCACGCCTTGCCTACCCACCCAGAACTGACAAAGAAGTCAAATATCCTCGCCCCCTTTTGCGAGTCTAGCCTGCAAATCTCCTTGGCCTGCTTCTTCTTCATGGTCCCGTTGGACTTGAGTGCCTCCCGCAGGATCTGCTCCTTGATCATGAGGTACGGTTTCGGTGCGAGCCGCACCACCTCACAAAGCTTCGCCTCCTCGGGCGTGAGGAGGTGGATGTCCGAGTTGTTATCTGCGGTGAAGGTGAGGGGCTGCAGCCCGGGGATGGGCTGGGGCATCTGCCTCGGCCGTGCTGCTGCCGCCGCTTCATGTCCGTTGACGCCGTTGGTGGTACCGTTGGTGTCTTGGACAATCTGCTGGCCTGCTGGACGGAGAGGGAGCTCGGGGGCGATCAAGAGGGCCGCACCGCTCGGCGGGTCCGCAGCCTGCTGCTGCTGCTTGTTCGAGCGCTGCACCGAGGCTAGGCGGTCGCGGTCCATGGACCCCATGGGGATGGCCTTTTGCATGCGCTGCAGCTTCTCGGCCTCGTACTTCTCCCCGCTGGCGAGGTCGCCGATCTTGAGGGAGCGCCACTCCTGCAGCTGGGCGATGGCCTGGCGGAGGTTGAGCTCGTCGATGAGCCCCTGGTTGAAGTCGTCCATGTCGCGGCGGTTCATGACGCGGGCGAATGGCTTGGCCTTTTGCAGCAGGTCCTTCTCCTCCTTGGACCTCTTCTTCTCGATCTTCGTGTTCTCCCTATAGTCGAGGAGGTTGTGTTCGAATATGACCTTCTTCCGGTCGGCGCGTTGCGTCAGCCGGCTGTTGTACACCTCCATGACAGTCAGCTTGAGCTCCATCTCGGGCTCGAGCTCGCCCGTCTTGGGGTTGATGCCGTCGCCTGGGTCGAACTGCATGTGTTGCACCGCCTCCTCGGCGTCGTTGGCATGCTCCGTCTCAAACTCCAGGCGGCCCGGCATGTAGCCCTGGATCTCGTGACAGCTAGGCACGCTGGCCGTCGGCTTGGTCTTCGGCTGCAGCGCCGGGGCGTTCTTGGCCTCCTCCCTCCTCTCCTCGATGCGCCGCTTCTTGCGGCTCTGGAACTCCTCCCGAGATATCTCGTTGGCCAGCTCCGAGTCATGCGGACTGCATCGCTTCGGGAGTGGGAAACACGGCGAGTCCACGTACGTCCGGAGGTAGTGGTCCCGCACCTCGTCCTTGCCGCGGAAACCTCCTATGTGGTCCGCGATGTCGGCCCACGACCCCAGCCCGTATATCTCGGCGCCCTCGATCAGCAGCAGCTCCTCATCCGCCCCCCACTCCTGGTCGAATATCGGGAACGAGTTCTGCTCGATCACGTGGAACGCGTGCGTTGCTGGGTCGTGAGCATTGCGCGACTGGCCCTGCGCGAAGCAGGTCACACATAGGTCGAACTCGTTGCATGCTGGATCTGCGCATCGGATTCGGACCTAGTACAGAGTCAGAGTCATACAAGTCAGTACTACCATCCACATCATACCAGCCCTCTCACCAACGAGAGAGAAAAAGTTAGGAAGACGAAAAAGATGGGTGGAAAAGAAAAATAGAAAGAAATACCGTAGATGTGATATCCGATGAGCATACGTCGCAGACGTATTTGACGCCACCTTCTCCTCCCCTGGTGGCCGTCTTTTTGCGTATCACACCCATTTCTGGTGGCGCCAGCGCGAAAGCTCTCCAGGCGAGTCGTGTGCCTGGGGTGGGGGGGGGGGGGGTGCTCTGTGATCAGGTAATGATGGGAAAAAGAAGGGACCACCTCGACAGGGTGAGTATCGACGTAAAAATTGACGGGAAGAGTCGTAAAGTGATGCGAAAGGGTATCTAAACGCGGTGTGACACCTTTTTTGATGGATTCACCCTCGTAGACGGCTAGGTGGTGATGGATTTCGATGGCCTTGCTGATGGCCTGACGCTGCGCCGGACACTCTCTGACTACTAAGACGGAGGCGGCGCAAGGCAAATAGCAGGCAGCGCGCAAGCGTAAATGCGCTAAAGGCGCGAGAGCAGTCATCACTGCGCCGTGGCCTAGAGCTGGAGCTGAATAATTACGTAAACACAGTAGGTGTATAGCACGTGACTATGTTAAGGTATGCTTATGTAATGCGGCTCTGTCGGTAGATGCAGCACGGTGTATAAACACGAATTTAATACCGACAAACTCTACACGAAAGAGTGACATCTCATGTGGAAAATAGTGAATAATTGTACCTTAGAGACACACACTGCGTATCTGCGGAGCTGGGCCTTAGAATCTTTACATATGATGATGTCTTTGGGGAACAAAATGTGCGGGGAGCCACGGGTTTAAAGGGGTAATAAACGGCTCGGAACACCAGTGAAGACGGAAGAACGAGTAATACTGTACATGTGTAATACTGTACATGCACAAAGGGAAAAGCCAAAGGAAGGAAGCGATGACACGTAGCAGCGTCACAATCAGTACATCTAGTGAAAAAAAAAAGAAGAAAAAAAAAAATGTTTCCCATTTCAAAAAAGATGTCACTGGGCCCTACTAAGCTGAAGGCATGGTCTGAGTAACAGCTACATGTTAACTCGTACGAGTAGAATATAAAAGCTCAAAAGGCCAAGCGCCCCCATGAACGCGGGGCAGCCTCCAAACCCCACACCATCAAATCCGCCTGATTATCCTTTCGCCAACATGCCGGACAAGATCCTCGACGATATTTCCCATCGGAGATACAACCCCCTCACCAACACCTGGCTGCTGGTGTCGCCTCACCGTACTAAGCGGCCATGGCAGTGAGTTGCACCGCCGTCGAGAAGAAGTGGTGGTGTTGCTGTACGGAGAGAGCAAAAATCACATGTCAAGTAGCTCAGGACTGACGGAGAACTCCAGAGGCCAGCAGGAACCTGCTGTGGCAAATACGCTGCCAGAATATGATCCAAAGGTACGACTCATAGGGGGGGTTGAGAGGAAGAAGCGAGAAGAATTGGAAGACGCGCCATGTCAGGGTCAAGTCTAACGCCAAACAGTGCTACCTCTGTCCCGGAAATCCTCGGGCGGCGGGAGATACCAACCCGAAGTACGAAAAGACGTTTGCCTTCGTCAACGACTACAGCGCAGTCAAGGAGCAGCAGCCAGAGTACACGGCAGAGAGTTCTGGCGACGACGGTGTGTTTCCCCCTCAAGCTCTGAATCAGTATTCTGCAGAAAGAGCGTACTGAAGCAGTGTAACGACAGACGTCGAGTCGTCCCTCCTGCGGGCCGAGAGCGTCAAGGGCGTATGCTACGTCCTCACCTTCTCGCCCAAGCACTCTGTTACTCTTGCCGACATGCCCGGACGCGACATCCTCCCCGTAGTGGAGCACTGGACGCGCATCTACGCCAACCATCTGTCGTCCTCGAGCCCTCTTGCCCCCGCGGCGGCCAAGCTCCAGCTGTCGCTCGGCCCCGAGGACGCCCCCGTCCCCAAGGACTCGTACCGGTACATGCAGATCTTTGAGAACAAGGGCGCGGCTATGGGCTGCTCCAATCCGCACCCGCACTGCCAAGTGTGGACGACGTCCAGCATGCCGGAGGAGCCGGGCAAGGAGCTAGCGCAGATGACACGGTACCGTGCCGAGCACGGCGGACGCCACCTACTGGCTGACTACGTGAAGCTGGAGCTGTCCAAAGGTGAGAGGGTGCTCTTCCAGAACGACGCCTTCCTCGTCGTCTGCCCCTGGTGGGCCGTCTGGCCGTTCGAGGTGCTCCTCCTGCCCAAGCGGCACGTCCGGTCGCTCGTCGACCTCGACGACTCGGAGCGTCTGCAGTTTGCAGAGGCCATTCAGGAGATCACCCGCCGCTACGACAACCTCTTCGAGTGCAGCTTCCCCTACAGCTCGGGCATCCACCAGGCCCCGCTGTCCGGCACGCAGGAGGAGGTCGACAATTCTTACCTGCACATGCACTTCTACCCGCCGCTGCTGCGCTCCGCCACGGTGCGCAAGTTCCTGGTCGGATATGAACTCATGGCCGAGCCGCAGCGCGACATCACGCCTGAGCAGGCTACTGCTCGTCTGCGCAACTGCAGCGGAGATCTGTACCGGAACAAGATAAAGTGAGAGAAGAGGTGCCCGGTGCCCAAGATCAATGTTAAGTAATATCATCGGATATATTAGGGGTATTTAGCTATCATTGATGGGCGTAATCGATCCAAAGAGAAAAAAAAATGGAAATTTTCCCTCTTAGCCAAAGCAAGCAGTACGTAGATGCACCAGCACTGGCAATCGTGGATGCGCAGATGATATCATTCCCCCTCTAGTTCACCGTGACGTAGCTGTCCCTGACGCTGGGCATCCAGATGAGAGCGCACGAAGACAGGAGGAAGGGGAAGAACTGCGGGACACCAAACGACATGCTCTTGAAGTAGAACAGCTCGCTGGAGAAGTGGAAGAAGGCAATGACGTAGGTCCAGACAGCCATGTCGTAGACGGGGCCGTGGTGGAGGTGGTAGGCGGCGTAGCAGCGGACGACGCAGGCCAGGAGGGTCCAGGTGCTGAAGAGGCGGTTGCCCAGGGGGGTGAGCTGGTCGGAGGCCTTGGGATCGTTGATCTTTGTGTCGACCGGGACGAGCTTGTTGACGGAGTCCTCGGGCTCAAAAGTGGCCGAGGCGGGGGGGAGATTGGCGTTACGGATGAAGCGGCCGTTATAGACGCGGCGCGAGTAGTGGAGGGTCATGTAGCCTTGGATACAGTTTCCGATGGAAATGCCGGAGAGCTGTATTCCAATGTTTGTCAGCTCTCTCTCTCTCCCTCTCTCTTTCACACCGTGCGTGTCTCTCTCAGTGTGAACTCACGAGAAGCATGTAGTAGGGCAGGATACCCTCGCTGGTAGGGAGGAAAGCCTTGATAGCGTCCATGATGAGCAGCTTTTTATTGTCGAGATGATGAGTAGAATTATGAGTATGACAATGTCTGAGATGCTCGATGCAGAACCAGCTTAATGTCAAAAGAGTTGTGATGGCAGGGAATCTGGGAAAGGAGGCTTTGTGGGCCTTGAGAACGAAATCTCATCGCAATATACAGATTGCATGTGCTAGGTTAATGGTAGCTTCAGGGGTCTGTTGTTGACAGTACGCGGACTTGAACGCCACGACGACGTCGGCCTTGGGGGAACAACACGAGCACATGTCTTTTTCTCTACAAGTAAAGTGATTCACTAATTCATTCTGTAGATTCATTCTCGAATTAAGATCTCTATCAGTATAAATTACGAGTCAGAGTGTACGCCGATTGGGGCCGTCTCGACATCTTGCGTACGGGTACATACATGTAGGGTAGTCGAAGTGACGGGTTGGAGCCTCGTTGATCGGGGTACGGACTAATCTGTAATACTGATTACATACCGGCGGCATACACGTAGTAACACTGCGCATTCTTGCTATTACATAATATATCAGAGGGACGATGCTGGAATATCATCTATTACCTTGTTTCCCCACAGTGACCCCCAACAGCTCTGACAGCTACTGAGCTACGTAAACAGGCCAGGGTCTATAGATGACCGGGAGATGGTACGATTGGTATATGTACTCGTATCTGTGGCAGTAAAATCGGTAAAAATCACTGAGGAGAATATCATCACCTCTAGCAATACTAGT